AACTAAGGATGGAAAAATATGTGTGCAAATCCTCAGAGTAATTGGTTAAATACCATCGCAGTGAGAGCTTCATTCATTTTACCTATTTCAAAGCGATTTCCTTGGTGAAAACCAAGAAAAACCGGGGGGTGGTCTATCTCCCCCCGGAAAAAACCAAAACAGAAACCGGTTTGTCTTTTTGAGTTTTGAGGTAGACCCTTTAAACTGGCAAAGTTTCATTGGAATCGGTGAGATGGCATGTAGCACGACTGCCCGGTGCTCTCGTGGACAGCCTCTTAAATAGCATTAAACAGTTTCTGAACAAGAACGAAGTAGCAACTCCTACTACAAGTTGTTCGTAAAGCCTATGATAAGAAAAAATGTTTCTATTCTTATGAACTATTGGAACTCTCAGATGCAAATCAACATTAATGTCTACGTCTTAACAAAAGTGGAGACTATTTTATCGAACTCAATCTTATTTTCTAATTTTAACGACTATTAACTGTTGATCTGGATCTGAAATAACAAACTCGCACTGCACCATGTCGTTCCAACACTTGGGCATTGAACAATAACAAAATAAATTAGGGTCACAAGTTTGTCTCTTACTGAATCTAGCGGTGTTCGACTGTCGCGGAAAAGGTTCGAAAACGACCTTTCCCCAAACATTGAACTAAATGCTTGCTCATTTTCCCTTGGTCAAAAGAAACACCCGACAGGCCATTTCTAGCTGCCAGTTCGTATGCATCGGCGATACGCATATTTTGAATTCAAACATACTTTATCACGCACTGAAACGTAAAGTACTACCTATTTCTACGAGAACTTTAAGGACGATGTTTTCACTCGGTTCTGTTGCGGGGGGGTCCAAATCTGCGGAGATGGGTCCATATCCGCTAGCAGATTTGGACCGGGGGGTCCAAATCCGCTAGGACACCGGGACGACATATCGAGTCATTTGAAGTACTACCAGCTATACAGCGATCCAGCTATCCAGCGAATTCCTCGAGTTCAAGACCCCCCCGGTCCAAATCCGCTGGCGGATATGGACCCCCCCATATCCGGGGGTCCGTAGCCGCCATATTCATATCTTATTGAATCTAGCGGTATTCGACTATCGCGGAAACATTAAACTAAAAGCTTGCGCATTTTCCCTTGGTCAAAAGAAACATCCGACGGGTCACTTCCAGCTGCCAGTTCGTATGCATTGGCGATACGAGTGTTTTGAATTAAAAACATACTCTCGTACGCACTGGAACGTAAAGCATCCGCCAACGGATTTGGACCCGACACCGGTATAGTTTGCCAATAGACTCAATCTCCAGTTGCCAGGATTCATCGTACTTCGTTTCAAAGTTTTAAAATCCGCGAGTTTTGCAACGAAAGAAAGTTAATGCCTTCCTGGTAAATTTCAGTCAGTTCAATAACAAGCTGGTGGCAGCTTTTACGCCAAATGGTGTTGGACACTCAGTCTCCTTTCACTGCTTCACATTTTCCTCCGTGCTTCCTCTGTCTTCCCGGGTGTTCCGATGTTTAGAATCGAACATACCAATTTTTGTTTTATTTTTTTCCATATCGAGGCGAAAATGACCAGACCAAACCAAAATTAACTCGAACTCGCGGATTTCATTTGATAGCTGGTAGTACTTCAAAGGCCTCGATACGTCGTCACGGCATTTCAGGAGAGAAATCAGGGCTGAAATACCCGCAGCCACTTCAATCTTTGCTTTCCGTGGTTCGCTAACATTTTTCCTGCGCCTATAAATTCATGTAATGTTATACGAAAATCGGAAAGTGAAAGTTTGTTCGTTTGTTTGCTGCAGTGGTGTATGTAAATCTGGTCTTTCCTCCACAAAAAAAAAAATTAAAAAAATTCATTCGAGTCGAATGCGGCTTTTTGTCCATTGAATTCCTTCAGTCTCTGCTATCCAATTTACGGTACAAATTTCCAAATTGAACGGACTGGGAAAGACTCACCAAAAGCGTATTTATAGCCGGAACTGAAAATTTCGCTCGCCCTTCCACTACGAACAAATTGTTTGAGAGAATTCAGATATTAAATGAATGCAAAGTTTCATCGATTAATTCAATTGTAACCAAATACCTCACGTTTTAACTTTCCAGGTACTTTTTGTGTAGGGTTAAATTAAATACAGATGGTTTTTAGGCCGCTTGTCAACCAATTTAATGACACTTTTGCATACATAAATTCATTTCGAAGCCAATATTTTTCTGTCAACCAAAGTGATTTGAGAGAGAGAAGAGAGAGGATTAATAAGTCATTTATGGGCTTGAGGTAGTGACTGACGTCTTTGCTTAAAAATACAGCCCAGTCGGAAAAACGAAAAATGGCAGCGAAGGTAGGAATGTATATGGCGACTCACGAAAGCGTTACCGAGTTCGTGGGCTGAGATTGAGATTGAGTTTTCTCACGTGATTCGTAAAACTGTAAGTTCTGTTTCGATCATAAAAACGAGATCAAAGTTACTTATTCTCAACAGTGTCTACACTTGAGTGAGCGAGTGAACATTTGTATACCAGACTTCCACAAAAACCCATTTCTGCACTTCGCGTAGCCTGAAGTTAACAACATAATATCAAATCATAGTTAACTGCCGGCCATCAGGGAAACTTTTGTGAATTAGACTATTTTGCACTAACTGGACTTTTGCGGGGAACGTAAAAATAACAGGGGGAAAATAGCTCGGAAGAGACCACTTGCAGCGGGAACGGAAATTCGTCATGGTTTCTTGGCAAACAGAGACCTGCTTCAGGCGAACTTGCTACTGACGTCGAGGATTAGACAGCGTTTGGTGCAACAGTAACTTTACTTCAGTCCATGTCGACAACAGACATGACCTCTAGTGTGCTCAACTTCGTAATCGTCACACATTCGTCAATGTAATCACCACGCAGTCGTCTTTGTAATCGATAAAAGCTTTACAATATACTTCCTTCACTACTTTCGAGCGCGTGGTTCTATTGTTCTCTAAATTTACAATATTTCACTAGTATCACAAAAGAAGAGGAAAATGTCTCTTTGAAGTTATCGATTCTAGCTAAGAGAAGGGAGGTTGAACTCACAGCTTCAAAGTTAAAAATATATATCTTAGCAAGCAAAAGTGAAAAGTCAAAGTCAATTAAAATCTCTGCCTATCCATGCCATGTTGGTGTTAAGTTCGAACAAGAGGCAAGGAGAAAAATTATGGTAGAGCCAATTTACGGACGTAAGTAATTTACCAGAAAAGGTCGCTACGAGAACTGTCTACCCAACAATGTCCACTAAGAATAAGATCACAAATTATAGGACCGATGTTCAGGCGCACAAAGGAGGCGAGAACAAAGCGATATGTACAAGTTGGTAATTGAAAGAACTTACTGTTGGCTTTTATCTCTCTCAAAACATTACAATAAAAGAAACTGGAATGAATTGAGGACGGCTAAAAATATTGAAAAAGTTATAAATATACTCTAAACAAGCACACGGAAAAATCATCCAATTTTCTCGTAACACAGTGAACTTGGTTGGTGTCATTTTTCAAACGGAGGTAAACGACAGCTGTATATCATTGACGAGAAGCGTCTGAGAAGAGGTGTAGTTATACTTCGTTAACTTCACCAAATCCCTTGGGCTTGAAACAGCGGTCTACTTACATTTCTTGCAGCTTTGGGAGATCGTATAGCTAACACTTTCATTGTTGTTGTTTTTTTTTTTGTCATCTTCCTCTAATGGGTCATCCCAGCCCAACCTCAACAGCAACTCCGCCTTCATGACATATGGCGCGATGAATCCCAATGGATCGAAGATGGAATAAACAGCTGACACAATCCCTCTTCGTGTCATTGCTCTCTGGTTTGCAAGCTGCAATATATTCTCCAAGACCTCTATTGCAAATTTGTCTTCCTCTGTATTCTACTTGAGGCCAAGAGAACTCTCTGTAGAAAGTCGTTCTAGCTCTAAATTAACCACAAATTTGGCTCTTTCAGACTCTAGGATCGCAGCCAGCACTTCTCTATAATTACTTTACCACTTCGTCAAGCGAAAACCGCCTTTCTCTAATGACTTGCGCAGTTGAATTGCTAAAATTGACTGCTTTCAATGTGGCACTTGCTGACTTCATCATGTTATCTACATACATGAATGCTCTTCCGATTTTTATGTTTGCATATCACGTTGTGAAGAATCGAAATCATAGAAACTGATGGTTTTGACAATAACGCTATTAATTTTTTTAAAAAAGCAAATCTATTTACTCCATAGCTGATGTCATAGGCAGGGACCGCGCAGAGGGAGGGGCTGGGGGGGCTTTAGCCCCCCCACTTTTTTGCAAGAATAAAAATAAATTTAAAAAATAATAATTTAACAAAAAAATTTTCCTTCACGCATTCTTCTTTAGCCCCCCCACTCGAAAACTTGCTGCGCGGTCCCTGATAGGATAATCGCGGTGTAAGAGTTCGTGGTTTTCCAGTGGTTGTAATTTGCATTACTAATTAACCTGACCTCGTTTACTTCTTGTTAAAACGTCAAAGTCTTGCGTATGAAAATAAGTCAGCGTATGACGCTGAAAGTTCACGAAGAAAGGTAATGTATTTTCTGTGGGGACCAGAACGTTACTGTTGACCCGTTGATCAATGTTGCTTACAGAAGCTATGCATGGGGAAAGTTCTCATCGCAAAAGTTAATATAAATGCTGCTTCATTTATCTTTGTCCTGTGACTTTAAAGTCATGACATTTTGTGCAAAAATCACAACTTGAGTGAAATGAAAGGTGACAAACCGTCTTCTTCACTTATTTTTTGTTTTAAGTCGATACTGTGAATTCTAACACTTTCAGCTCGTTACAAAAAGTTTTCAAGTGTAATCGACCCAGCCCGTTTTTGTAACTTAACATGTGTGTTCCTGTTTATAGTGACTCGTTATTAGTCCAGATTATCGAATCATATAGTATTGTGTTACTTAAAATAATCTTTCCCTGATAACAGGAAAGGATGGCAATGGAACCCTAACAGCAATAGCCATGATAGCTTTCATAAGCATCGCCTTATTTGTTGCCCTGTTCCTGCTCAACTCAGATCGCATTCAGAAAGCCATTGAGATATGCAGCGAATGTTTGATTTTGCTAAATAGCACCGATCAAAACAGCAAAGACCAATTTGATTTAATACCGCTACAATTTTACAGCGACATCTATACACTTCTTTTCAGCGCTTATCGTTATATCTCTGACTACGTAAGTGCGGAAAGATACGGCAGGAAACTGTTTGTCTTATACAGCAAGTCTGGGATAATGCTTTATAAACTTGGCGAAAACCTAAAAGCGAAGGAGTATGTTGAGAGGGCCCTTGCCATAACAACCAAAATTGGCGACAGAAAAGGGGAAGCATTATGTCATGGAATCCTTAGTACTTTGTTTCTGTCGCTCGGCCAATTCGACAAGGCTAAAGAGTATCTTCAAAAAGCGCTCGCCATCAGAATTGAAATAGGCGACAGAGAAGGAGAGGCAGCTGAAAAGGCAAACCTAGGTACTTTGCTTCTGTCGCTTGGCCAATACGACAAGGCTAAAGAGCATCTCCAAAAAGCGCTCCTCATCAGAACTGAAATTGGCGACAGAAAAGGAGAGGCAGCTGACTACGAAAATCTAGGTGCCTCGTTTCTGTGGCTCGGCCAATACGACAAGGCTAAAGAGTATCTCCAAAAAGCACTTGTCATCAAAACTGAAATTGGCGACAGAAAAGGGGAAGCATCATGTTATGGATACCTAAGCGCTGTGTTTGAGTCGATCGGCCAATGCGACAAGGCTAAAGAGTATATTCAAAAAGCGCTTCTCATCAGAACTGAAAATAGCGATAGAGAAGGAGAGGCAGCTGACAACACAGGCCTAGGTATTGTGTTTAAGTCGCTCGGCCGATACGACAAGGCTAAAGAATATATCCAAAAAGCGCTTGTCATCAGAACTGAAATTGGCGACAGAAAAGGGGAAGCATCATGTTATGGAAACCTAGGTACAGTGTTTGAGTCGCTCGGCCAATACGACAAGGCTAAAGAGTATCTTCAAAAAGCGCTTGTCATGAAAACTGAAATTGGTGATAGAAAAGGGGAAGCATCATGTTATGGAAACCTAGGTGCTATGTTTAATCACTCGGCCAATTCGACATGGCTAAAGAGCATCTCCAAAAAGCGCTTGTCATAAAAACTGAAATTGGTGACAGAAAAGGGGAAGCATCATGTTATGGAAGCCTAGGTTCTTTGCTTCGGTCGCTCGGCCAATACAACAAGGCTGAAGAATATCTCCGAAAAGTGCTTGTCATCAGAACTGAAATTGGCGACAGAGAAGGAGAGGCAAGTGACAACGTAAACCTAGGTACTTTGTTTCAGTTGTTCGGCCCATACGACAAGGCTAATGAGCATTTCCAAAAAGCGCTTGTCATAACAACTGAAGTTGGTGACAAAGAAGTAGAGGCAAGTAGCAACGCAAACCTAGGTACTTTGCTTCGGTCGCTCGGCCAATATAACAAGGCTGAAGAGCATCTCCAAAAAGGGGTTGTCATAACAACTGAAATTGGTGACAGAATAGGAGAAGCATCATGTTATGCAAATCCTAGGTACTTTGTTTCTGTCGGCCAATACGACTAGGCTAAAGAGTATCTCCAAAAAGGGCTGGTCATCAGTACTAAAATTGGCTATGAGGAAGGAGAAGCAGCAAATCTTTCAAACCTTGGAACTGCGTTTAGTATTGTTGGAGATTATGACGCTTCGGAAGTACACTTGGAGAAAGCTTTATCCATATCCAGAGATATTGGAGATAGAAGAAAAGAGTTCCAAATCCTTCGAAGTTACACCACTTTGTACTTATCTCAAAATAAGATCAAAGACTCCATTTCGTGTCTTCATCTGTGCATTGAAAAGTATGAGGAGCTGAGATATTTCTTGAGCACCAATGATCAGTTCAAAACATCATTTCTTGAGGAATTAGGAATATTTCCCTACAAGCTGCTTTGTCGTTTGCTTTGTGACAACGGAAATGCTCGTGATGCTCTTTACGTTGAGGAGTTGGGTCGAGCTAGAGGCCTACCAGACTTAATGACAGAGAAGTACTCGATTGAAACGCACATCTCTGTTAATCCACAATCTTGGTTTGGCATTGAGAACATTTTTAGAGAGAAAAATGACTGTACTTGTCTGTACATTTCTTATTTTCAGAATCATCTGCATTTGTGGATCTTAAAAACAAGTGGAGTCCTTCACTACAGAAGAATAACACCAGAAGAGAATCTAGTTCAGGCTGGGTTGCCCAAAGATTGCCTTTGAGCAAATTTTTGGTTGATAATTTCCGGAATCTTGGTATTTTGCCCTCTAAAGATTGTGAAGATCGCTCTTTAAATATGGTTAAATTGCAACCTCTCTCCCCCGCACAAAAGAACTCAGCAAGATTGCGACTCGTGGAGGACGAAGAGGACGAGGGTGAGAAAGTGATTTCAAATCTATATTTGTGTTACAGAATGTTTATTGCTCCCGTTTATGATTTGCTTGAGGAGCCTTAAGTCATCATCGTTCCTGATCGCAGTTTGTACCAAGTTCCCTTTGCTGCACTGAGTGAAAAGGAGGGAGCCGAATACCTCTCGGAGACTCATAGGATCCGTGTCATTCCTTCTTTGACAACACTCAAGATTATTCAAGGTAGTCCAGAGGACTATCACAGCAACACTGGTGCCCTGATAATAGGCAATCCTAAGGTTAATTGGCTGCTGCCATTGCCAAATGCAAGAAAGGAAGCGGAGATGGTCGGAAGACTGGTGGGTGTTCCGCCTCTGGTAGAAGAGCAAGCAACGAAGCAGGCGGTACTTGAGCGCATATGTTCAGTGAGCCTGATTCATTTTGCTGCCCATGGTAGCGCCGAAAGGGGAGAAATTGCCCTCTCCCCCGTTCCTACTTCCAACAGGCGAAACGCTATCCCTCCACGGGAAGCTTACATGTTGACGATGGCTGATGTCTCACGAGTGAAAGTCAGAGCTAAACTGGTGGTACTTAGCTGCTGTCACAGCGGAAGTGGAGAGATAAGAGCCGAGGGAGTTATAGGAATTGCCCGTGCGTTCTTAGGATCCGGTGCACGCTCGGTGTTGGTTGCGCTATGGACCATTTCAGACTCAGCAACAGAGCAGCTGATGAGTCGGTTCTACGAACATCTTGTTGAAGGAGAAAGTGCCAGTGAATCCCTTCATCAGGCTATGAAGTGGATGAGAAAAAACGGCCTTACCAATGTGTCTGAGTGGGCTTCGTTTACGCTAATTGGAGATGATGTGAGATTCGAGTTTGACAAGCAGAGGTAAGACTCAGTCCGAAAAGATATTTCACAAATTGAAGTTAAATTAGATGTGAAGGTGGCTGTGGTTTACTGGTCGCTGACTGTTGGCGGGGGTCCTTTGTTACCTTGAACATCAACGCTAGTTCAATATATATCCATATATAAATATATATAAGTGTGGGGGTAGCGTCTACCTTGGCATAAAGTGCTTAATGCTGTGGTAGCAGAGCTGAGTATACATAAGTGAAAGAATCAAAGAGGACGCATCGAATCTCTGTTACTCAGAGTTTCGCGCCTAAGCGCTCGTCAGACAGAACTTTTTCTGTAGGGAAAATACTTTATCCGGTATTTCATTGAAAAAGTTCTGTCTGACGAGCGCTTAGGCGCGAAACTCTGAGTAACAGAGATTCGATGCGTCCTCTTTGATTCTTCCACTTATATATATATAAATATATATATATATATAAATATATATATATATATATATATATATATATAAAAATATTATGAGAGGAAAAAACGACGCAACTACATATCCCGACAAGCCTGTTTCGTGAATCGCTTCACTCTTCAGGGGTTTGAACAATTTTTTTAAACTTTCCCTTAATGTTTGGCCACCAGTGCAGGTGTCTTCTTAGGGTGAACTAGCGTTTGAAGCTGGCGATCGTTTATCCGATAGGCCATGTTTGATTTGGAATTAGAGAGGACGGTGGGGGTAGGGGCGGGGGAACAGCGAGAAGACGCCTGCCCCAAGAGACTGTTGAAAAGCAAAACACCCCCTGATTAGTTGCGCGACACTGCATTTCTGGACATCATCACTGTGACGAGGGAGCAGCATCCGTAAGGCTTATTTCTATCTTTCACAAATGAAAATTCATTGTAAATAGCAGGTCGCACTATCTCCGTACATTTCGCATGGAAAATAATCTTAAGAGCCTTCATTTACCTTTTAGTGTTTAGTTTCTTTTATAATGGAGTATTTTTTTCTCGAACTTGTAGCTTGTGAACTGCTCAAAAAGCACAAAATGATAGCGTCTAGCAAACTGACCAGTGAGCAGAAGCAGGCCTGGCACATAAGTAACAAACGTTTGACACCCAATTACTAGTAGACAGTAACATGAATTCGAGTGTAAATTGGTGTTAATAAGCACGAGTAAATTTTTCAAAGACTACACAATTGTACTACCCGAGCACAAGAGCTGATTTACACCAAATTGCACGAGAAATCATGTTGTAACTTGATCATAATTGACATGAAAAAGCATTATAGAAAGTCAAGAAGGCAAAATTTTGGCAGCGCGCACGCTATTTATAATTTGCACTCTCGTTACAACTATTTCACTTGTGTTAGTGTTAGTAATATGAATTTGAGTGTAATTTGGTGTTGATAAGCACAAGGAAATTTTTTCAAAGACAAAAAAATTGCAGCCGAGTTCAATTTAAAGTCTTTGAAAAATTTATAGTTGCATAATTATACCAAATAGCACGAGAAATCATGTTGCTACTCGACTATAAATATACGAAAATCATTTATGTGTACTGCCGCTGAAGAAACGAATATAGAAGCGATCCTCGCAGTTATGAACACTACTGCGATTTTAACCCATGACCTCTGCGATACCGGTGCAGCGCTGTACCAACTCTAGTGAGCTAACAAGCCAACTGGGAGCTGGTCATTATGTTGATTTCAAATATATCCTCCAAGTGGTGAATAATATTCATTACTGTGAGGATCGCTTCTATATTCGTTTCTTCAACCGCAGTGCACATACATGATTTTCTTATATTTAAACCGCGTCAGTAAAGAACACGCTTAGTATAAAATCCTTATCAATATTATTAAATAGCTTATCATTAGTGATAAAATTATAATTTTTCCTTACAATATCAATATATTATCATATTGCGATGTGGGTAGATAAACTAAAAACATCCCAGGTTCTCTCTTCATTAAACACAGACACACCTACACACACAACGGTTCACGCACCCTCACGAACACACGTGCTGGGACACGTTTAAAATAATAATCTCCAATGTAAGACATGGCAGAGGAGATAGGAGGGCAGCAAGGATCAGATCTTGGGAATTTAACGGATCTTAAAAATTTTATCAATGATTGTGTTTTCAAGGTTTGAAGATGTATAGGAAGAAAAAAGTTATGGAAAAATTACAGACGTTTCCGAGTCATGATGACGCTATGTAAAGCCAAATACGCGCATTTTAAGCGTAATTGCATAATCAAACAATTCAACATCATGATAATGATCGTGCTACGATAATTTGTGTTAAAAATACCAGATAAAATCGAATGGAAGAAAGGAAATGAATGAGCGCAAATGTTTGAAGTTTTGATCACCTGGTGTCCTTTCAAAAAATTATATAAAATCGTCCAAAAATTGACATATCTTGTTAGCTTGCGGTTGTCTGTAATTGGAAGATATATTTGATGTAGATGTATTAAGAAAAAAGAATCATATGACTGAGTAATAAGTTTTATCCACGTTATTGATTCCAATATTTCAAAATTTTGTAGAAACACAGTTCATCTAATTGCGTCAACGTTTGAACTATTTTCTAATTTCATCACGACGACTATTGGCTTACTTGTTATACCTTGCAAATGACTCCTTGTATATATGCCGAGATATCACTGAAATATTGAGGTTAAAATTATCATATACAGGCAAAAAAGGCTTCAACACAAGACATACATACGTACATACACACATACATTATGTGCGATATGGAGATGACATCCAACACTAGATGGGTGTGTTGTAAATGTAGTAGTTACTAGATTTATCAAATGTTGTTGTACTTTCCTAAAATTGACTAGAGGGTATACTGGAGTAGATATGGTGAGTGGACGTTATATTTTGATTGCTCCTGCGGTGGGTAAATTACAAAAATTTTTATTGATCATTTTGTGTGGAAACGATCGTAACAGTGGATTTTATGACAAGTCTAATGCTTTTATTTTTTTTATCTTAACGAAGAATTTATTGAGGCGACGAATTCTTTTTCTTGTATTTTTTTTATTTTGTTCTTGTAAAGTTTTTTTTCTGCATGTGCTGGCTGCGTGTCGGCGCGCTCTGAAGACAAAGCCTTTATTTAGATTTTTGAAAGAAGTAACAAATTTGTGGTCGAAAATGATATTTTGCTCCACCAATCAAACTCAGAGACAACAGCCAATCAAAGAGCACACTCTGTGGTGCCTATGAAAGCCTATGAAATAAAACACTTCTGAAGTAGGAAGTCGATCACTGCTTTTGCACTACTATTCAGCCTAGTTCTTTTGTGATCCCCTCTCCACTCCCCCTGGAAACCATTTGAACAGCCCAAAATCCTCTGCCTCCCCCAGATGACTAATCCCTAACCAATGCTGATATTCTGAATATCGGTGCAGTCACGTGATTGTCAAACAACGCACGTCTATCATAGTATTTCTTCCCCTAGTTTGCCTCAAATTGTTTATCTAAAGTAGATTTTACGGAAGTGTTTACAGATCCGTTTTCTAAATAAGATTTGTCGGCAGAAAAAAGAAAGAGAAATAAACAGAATCAAAATGGTGAGTCAAGCTTTGAAAAGTATCATTTGGTGGTGAAATCTGAGATGCTAACTGAAAAAGCGAAGAGGAAGGCTCCGGATATAGCTAATGTACAATTTCGGCCAAAAAATGCTCCACTTAAGAAGGTAAGTCTGCACCCAAACACGAGAAGAAATGATAAGGAACTGTTAGCTGATTTAAAGGTTTCTAAGGAGAAGCAATTTAGAATCTGTCATCAAAAGTTATACCAAGCTTCATCACAAGTTTCATTCAGATTTTAATTTTGAAGGCTTAGCCAGATTCAGTTAACATCAACTAACAGACAACATACAATGACCTAGATTCAGCATTTAAAACCGAACCGTCATAATACATTATTTACTTTGGTAAAAGATTTCTTATCGACATTGAATCGTAACTATATACAAACAATCTAAATACATCTCTTAATCTGATGTGAAAAAACCAAAGTATGATAAAGTTTAATTTACTGGTAATCTTTAAATAGCAGTGACAATCAACATCAGCCTGTGAATAATTAATCTGTTAAATTTTTACATTCTTAATGGTCACTTTTACTGAATGTATCGCTGATTTTTCCTAAATCATTATTTCTTAATATCAATTTGTGAAAAACAAGCAAAACGCTGCTATTTGTTCAAAGTGACGCTCAATTTTTTTGGATAAATTAATACAGGTTCACATCTGCAAATATCTTTGATATTAAGAGATTTCCTTTATGGACAAAGCGAGTTTCTAATTCGACAGTTGAAATTTAAAAGACAAAAGCCTGTTTTAATTAGAAAATAACATTGAAATTGCTGCCTGTGAGGTTTTTCCCGAACAATTATAGTATATTTTATTTTCGTTTACGCTGTCAGCTTATGTTGAAGCAAAAATTTAAATGGTAATCGTTTTAGTCATGAGGCGAGAGGCAAGCTATCTATAAAAAATGCTCAAAGTTTTTCGTTTCTTTCGCCGCGGACATCGTTCTGTCGATATGAATGAAACGGAGGTGGAAAAAGGTTTGAACTGTTTAATTTTCGATTATTTATCTTTAGTTTTTGCCATGTTTGTATTTTCGATTTTTCCCATGCCTGATGTTTATGGCATCAAACCAATGTTTGTTACAACAGTTTATTCCAAAAAATATATTTTTCGTTTATTGACTTTGTTTTTGTTAGGGGAACGCAGTGCATATCAAGCTGGCTTTTATTTAGTTGATAATGTGGAAACGTTTAAAATCTCGCTTCGTATTCCGAAATCTCACTGAAAATGTAACGAAAGGATTAACTGATAAACAATAGTTTTTCCTCCAATATTATGTAACAAATAGAAAAACCAAGAATAATTAATTTCTGTTTCATATTTAATTGTTGACATATACTTCGCTTCATCCAAATTTTCATCTCTGTTTGATAAAGAAAAACAAACTTTTCGCGAAGTAAATTGTCACTCGTTTTTCTAACTCACAAAAAGTTTCGTGCCGTACACTTTTCATCTAACACCATTACCTTGATTAAATTTTTTATTAAAAACGTGTGAAATTTTCGCCTTTGGTCGCGTTAAGCCGTGCTAACTGAATTATAACATCATCGTCTACAACCAAATCACATCAGCAAACGATGCAGACATATTCTGTAGCGTCCATTATTTAACTGTGAATACAAAGACCATACTGCTGTGCGTTTAGATCATTTATTCTTATAGCGTGGATTTCGTTCGTCGCGCTTTCCACGCGCATATTTTCAAATATATTCCCCAAAACAAGCTGTTGTATTGTACTCACATAACACTGTGTTATAATACAAGCAGAGAAAGAGTTCGATCGAGAAAACATCTTACGGTTGAATTCCATCTTAGCGTACATGTACTTTTTATGGCAGCGCCATAATCCGCACGAAAACTATTAAAACGATGTAAATCCCTCATTTATAACTTTTATTCTGTTATTTGTTAGAATGAGTGTGTTATGTTTGTCCCCTTTAGGCACACTTTGATTCAAATGTTGCCTGTACACTATTTTATAACGTTTATCGTCTATATCGCTTGTCATTGACTAGTCACAATAATTTAATTTTTTCGTTGGTTCATCACGTGTGGGTGGAATTTACTTTAAGTCCTTCAAGTGACGCATTTCTGTTAATCTACGATGTTTATTGTCCAAGTCAGTTTTCCAGCAATCATTTAGAATAAGGTTGTTCTTAGGTGGTATGTTATGTTTGTCATTTGCGGGAAGCCTTAAGCTCAAATTACGGATGCTTGTTATTTTATGATGTTCACCGTCAGTATCGTTTTTAGCCAATCAGTCAAACCAATTAGTCAAGATAAGAATATTTTCATTTTCTTGTCATTACACTGAACCTGAAAAAGTCTTTTATTATTTCAGCCATGAACTATCCTAAAGAAATTAATATCTGGTATTTCTGATTGTTTTAGGCATATTTACTTCAAAAGTTTTTGCCAGGTATTAAATATCGATAGTCGTTGCCTTTGGTTGGAATGTCAATATCAAAGTTGTGAGTTTCTCCGCAATTATGCATCAAATTTTATACATTTCTGATACTTCATTGATAGCGGAGCTCGCTGAGCGTAACCCCATAATTATACAAATTAGTAGTAACCAATTAAGCCGAAAAAATTTGGATGTACGACCGTACGACCCTACGACCGTAAAAAGTGCTACTTTTAACATGCGTGATCAACTGTACCGCGGGCACGTCAGCGCCACGGCTTTGTCCAGTAGTCCAGTGGTCAGTGCACTGGGCTCAGGGTCGGACGACCCGGGTTCTAGTCCTGGCAGGGGCAAGGCGTTGTACCCTTGAGACGTGCGGGAAAAAAAAATTGCGAGCTCCGCTTTTAGGCTTGGCTAAATCGATACATTACCTATGTAATGAATTTCTTTGCTTTACTTCTTTTACACATTTTTGTGGTACAAATTACAAAGCTGTGCTCCCTATTGAGCAAAATGAATGTTTACTATAACTGACTCATATTCATGCCTGTACAGAGTTGAAAAAGTTCTTGGTTTTAAAACTTATATAAAAAGCATTTCAAAATAGTTTTTTAGCCACAAAGTAGTACCTAATAGCGATATCCATCTATTTCTTCAAAGCTAAGCTTTCTCAGTTATAAATCGTTTTGCACACCGCTCTTTAAAGTGATTGTTTGTCAATAAAAAGTCATTGTACAGGTAACCAAAATTATCTCCTCAACAACCCAAAGTGCACGTGTATTCAAAGTGGTTCATATATCATAAAGTCATATTTCGTTTATACTTATCTTACCCAGGAAATGATCGAAGCTGTCGGACGCATCCTACACACTACGTAATTCCCGCGCTTTACGTATGCATTGCGTGCCTATGTTTATTTTTGACGCTCGTCGAATGTTTTGTCTGCACAATTACCTATGCGTGATTCAATACTAATTAAGATTGCTAAACTAAAGGAAATGAAAAAAATACAAAAATCTTCAGTTTGATGTTAAGGTTTTTTTTTTTTTGTTCTCTTTTGTTTTGTTTGTTTTTTTTAAACGATCGATGACGATGGTCGTTGTATTTCATAAGTTGCCGTCTTTTTCTACAATCAGCTTTCAGCCGAATTTTTCCCAGCATACAATTTCTTGCTGTGTTATCAAAGAAATAATAATAAAAAAGTCAGATCCAATCGATTTTTCATATAACATAGACCTCTGGTGCCGATGACGTTACGCTAGATCGCCATATTGGGTTTATACAAGCAGGAAAGTGAATTTGCGGCGGTTTTTTTTTGCTTTTGTTTTTTGTTTTTCCATCAGAACAGTATTTTAGACTCACCATATCGATAACCTTTTTATAAATGTTATTCTCTCAGTGACTCAAACTTATATCCGTAATTATTTAGTATAACAAACTTAAAAAAGAAAGCCTTAGTAATTTCCAAACCTACATTACGTGCGCTGAGCTGATTTTTTAATTACTTTATCTACATCTACATATACGAAGATTCATGCGTAGTTATCAATCACGAAATTTAAGCTCACGAAAATTTAGTTTAGTGCTTGAAAGCTTTTTGCAATTTTTGAGATTTAATAACGTAAACGAGGAGGCCGTGGGAACTCAAGTGGTTATTTGTTCGAATACGTTATCTCTGAGTAACAATACAACAGCGAACGCCTCCAGTATTTCAGATTTGACAATTAAGCAATGCAAAACACTTTGGTACAATTCCGGATCGAAAGTAAAAGGAAGAAATGGAGGTTTAATTTAAAACAGAATATGATTTTCTTTGCACTACCTTTTTGTGATTCTTCATCAGATAAACACAATTCATCATGCACTGAATAGCTCTGAATGTTAGAGGGAACATTTTCGCTTGTAATCAGTTTTCGTTTCATTTTTCTGTTCTGGGTTTGTTTATATGAGAAAAGCTGATGACTGAGTTTGGCATTGCATAGTATTCGGAAATGTTTTACATTCTGTAAAAGGCTCAATGTTAAACTATCTGATAAAAACAGCATGTAGATTAGCTTTTCCAGTCCAAATCCCTATTTACACAAAAAGTTCCAGAATTACCTGCAAACTGATTTGTCCGCTTTGTGCTCAATTTAATAAGCTGGTGTAACTTTTTTTGTGGTTAGACGTACTAAGCTGAATGCACGCACTTGTTTATGAATTCTGCCGAGTTCTCCAACCATATGTGTCATATTAAAGCTTTTTAAACTGATGATAGGCAAGTGCAAGAAAAAACGAAAACGAAATATGGGTAAAGTTTCCAAATTCATGCTTTTAAAACGAGATCATTTTTTTCTAGGTAAGGATTTTGTTGAGACATTAGTAGACTTCGATAGACTCTTTCCCACCAGTGTTTATTTTTAGGACTAGTGGGAAAAGACTGAATCTTGAGTCAGAGTTTTGTTTATTCTTTTTTCACAGAGGCAACTTTTTGGTCAAAGAGAGGTCGTCAGAGAAAAAAGCCGCTTGAATGCGAGTCGCGAAAAGCGAAAATTTGGTCAACACTCAGTCACTCGATGAAAGCACAGAGACTTTTGAGGAAAGAAATGTTACTCCAATAGATGGAGAGCTGGCATCACATAAGAAATCTCTTAAAGCTATGTCAATGGAAAGTTTGACACAATCAAAAAGAGAGCGGTCTTGTTCTCGGCCGTCGCCTATGTATTCTGATGACTTCTGGTTGCGGCACTTCGACGGTGAAAATTCAGTCTCATGGAAAACTTTCCGAGCTGCTTTTCTAGAAGATTACGGATCTGTTATACACGAATTTGCTCCCAATAGAATGCACTGGATCTTAACAATTGTACATACGGATATTTTTGGGTCGGTAGAAGACATTCATAAATTGTATTATGAAAAGTTTTGCGGAAAATCTAAAAATCCGGATCGCCTATGGATAAAGATCAAAGAGTACGCGTCAGAGAGGATTTTTCGAGAGGGCGTCATTGAATCGATGTTTGAGTAGACTTAACATACTTAAGTAAAAGCATAAGAAAGTGAAAATAGCTTTCGCACATTTTCTATGAGATCTCCTATACAACAATTCTTTCTGTGTTTGTATTTACAGGTTCACGTGGCACACAACAAAATAAAATGAACCAGAACACAGGCTATCGTATAATTTATAATGAGTCATATGATAATCCAGTTGTTCACTTTGCATCATAACAATTTAGTCAATTTATAACAAGATGTTATCATCTATTCGTGCCTGCACGTCTTTTAAACTGTTATGTTTTACGGCCATATACCAATATCTTGTTGAAATCATCTTTAGCCTGATCTTCAAAATCATGATGGAAAAAAAAAGACTTTTTATCCGTCATTTCCAGAATCATAAACGAGATCTACATACTCGCAATTTGTACCAGAGCTCGAGAAATGTTTACCAAAGAGAAGCAAAAAGTCTTTCACTGACTCTGGCGTGATTGAGTGATGTAGCGGACCAAATTGCTGCCTAAATTGTGACAATATATTGTCATACGGTACTGAGAACATTAAGATGATGAGCGGTAACCGAGTTAATAATGAATATGAAAAAGTTACGCGCTTCTGATGGGCTGCCAAGAGTGCAAAGTTGTGACGCGAGTTCTAAGATGTAACACGAGTGCAAGTCACAAATAGCTCGCGCGCGCTCTCAAATTTTGTCTGTCTTGCCTTTCTGCGAAGTTTTTCATGCGTATTAATAAAAAGTTGTAACATGATTTATCATATAAACTACGGTGTTATATAAGGATCTCCAGCCCTGTGAAAAGCCGTAACAACACACGTGAAAAAGTATCGTATTTTTCACGTGTTTGATATCACCAATGAGCTGCTGACACGTCACTCGCCTTTCGCGCCCCTCGGTCAGGTTGAGGAATGAACGGCGAAGCCTTCAAGATTCTCAATGCAAGGTCGTTTGTCGGATTATGGCTGCTACAACATTGGAAAGTACGTATCGCTTACAGAAGGTGACGTTCAAACTTTCCTAGCAGGGGAAGAAAACCAAAATACGGAAAGGAAAACCGAAAGTTACGTATTCAGTGGCTTTGGTAATGGCATTTCTCGCGACTGAGAACGGAAATTGAAGAAAACTGGAAGATTTGCCACAGGCAGATTTTTGCCGTGTACCTAAAAGATTTCTTCTGTCGGTAAGGACTACGTTCGATAAATGAGAATTTTGTCTATTAAAAATTACGCCCAAAAAATTACGTTTGTTTTTTGTAATATTTCAACGCGTTTTTTCATATTGAGTGCGCCAACTCACTCGTAAGCTGTCAAGTTTTGACTCCAATTTAAACTTCGAGTGTTTAAAAACACTCCAACACTCTATTATGGCCATGGAAAGGTTGAATAACTACTAGAGATTGTGAAATCACCTTTAAACAAACCAATCGGCATGCATCAGAAGCCTTGTTACCGATAAGCGGGACCCTACAGCCATATTGTTTTGTATTGCTAGAATTTGGTGCCACAAGTTATAGGTGCAGCTCACGCCGCACAAACGTGTTATAACTTATGAATAAAGGGGGTAAGAAACTGTGATGCTGCATCGGTGGGAGAGTATAGCAGGTAATTTAGTGTTAACAGCTGAGTTGAAAACGTAAATTGGCCACCGTAAAGGGTAAAAAAGATGACGTTTCGAGCGTTAGCCCTTCGTCAGAGCGATTGGCTCTGAAACGCTCGAAACGTCAGCTCTTTTACTCTTTACGGTGGCCAATTTACGTTTTCAACTCAGTTGTTAACAATAAAGTACTTGTTGTAACTTAGATTTCTTGTGTTTTACTGTATTTTAGCTACAGGGCGGCGCCTCAACCTGGTCGCCTGTATTTTCCAGAGCTATGGGCAATTTGATCGGTTTTACTTTGAGTCGGGATGGAAGGGGTGACTCCATTGGCATCGAATGAACACCGCCAGTAACACGTCACGCAGCAACATTGGAAGCGCTTCGCTTGTTGTGCTCAATCTAGCGAAGGACACAATTAGAAGCCAAGAAAGAGAAGGTCAATGAAAGCTAAACTTCTTTATCACTAATTAATTTGCCGTCTGTGTGTGCGGTTTGTTGTATATATTGTCTGTGTATTTAAATGTGTACTAATTTCTGAACGTGATTGCTTATAGGGATGAAATTACACTCAAGAAGAACTTTGTTAGAACTACTACTTTTAAAAGCAGTTTTTTAATACGATTGTGGATATGTGGAATAAATTACCATTATCAATACGTCAGGCATCTAAAATTTCCAGCTTTAGCAAGAGTGCAAGGGACTTCTTGCCATCAAGATATGACTGAATTTTTAATCCTTCATTCATGCACTCTATTTCAGTTTGGATGATTGTTATTTATTTCTTATTGGACGTTTTTGATATATATATAATAGATTATTGTTATTTTTTTCTTTTAGGAGGTCTGCCTTTGTATGGGGTCCATGACTCTTTTGTAGACTGTCCTAATGATGATGTTGTGTATTGTCATTAAACTGCAATAAATAATTTCATTGATTAAAATTCTGGGCAAATGCTGACCGCCATGTTGACTTTGGAAAGTATAAAAAAAAACCAATTTTAATATCGTTTTCTCTGCAAGATCTGATCAGATCGACCTCATAAAAGAAGGTGTTTTTTTTCCTTATTAATATCAGTTTATGCCTTATGTTATTTGGAGTCAATCAAATCGGTCATTTTGCTCATTAACCTTTTAAGTTTTAGTCACTTCATCGAACTGTTTTGAACTTGACGAGCCAAGTGTGTGTATTTTTTTCATTAGCTCGTGTTCTCGTGTTGTAGATACTTGGTGAGAGCCAAATTTTCTTGATTTTCTTTCAGTTTAGCTTGCTGCTTTTTGTTTTAAACTTTTGATTGCCGAAAACCATCGGTTCATCTTTTTGGCTCGTAGATCTTGTGTCATAAGCACTCTGCGAGCTCCTCTGATCTGTTTAAATTATTTTCGCTAGTGCAGTTATAACTGCTGATAGCAAGTATAACCAACGCACCAGCAATAATCTTAGGACGACTTTAATTCTTGACGACTCGAAACTCTCAAATTTACATCATTACATGTCTTTGCCACTTTTTTCAAACATATATGTTACAAACATAATACATTAGGAACGGAAAAAATAATTACAACATTAGAAATAATATGCATGGGAAATACGAATGAAACAGAAAATACGAGACACTCGATTCAAGTGGCCATTTATCTCACGATTTGAGATTATGGCGAAACCGCTTTAAGAGCGTACTTGTGATTACAGGTCAACTGGAGCGAACACCTTTTCATTTGCATGCATAATCCGCGCGAAGGTCAAACTAGGATAGCCGCGCTGAAACCGAGACTTTGCATGGGATGTTTTTTTTTACTTGTCTTATACTTCCGCACGTACTAATTTCATTTAATCTTTTTGTTATCCACGTATCATTTCTATAACATTATTTTTCACACTTTTAAGTGAATTACGCCGCCCTTTATTATATCATGTTTCAGACCTTTTTAGCACTGTCTTATTTTGCGTCAATGTAAAGCTTTTTCTTACGTTTTTATAAAGTCGTTTTTCTTTTCCTTAGGGATTTCCTTCTTCTTCACCTGCTTATTAAAGAGCAGTTAAACTGAACGCTGATTTAACATGTTTTAGTGGAGAGGGCCTTTTCTCCTTCAAGGTTGGTTAGAGGTCTACAGTGCTGTTTCAAGGGTTCTGGAAATTAGTCAGGGTCTCAAAAAAGTTACAGCATGAAATGAAATATAGACTTCATGACTTGCGATTTGCTTTTGAAATTCTAAAGAATCTAAGAGTATGCGATTAACATTATGGCAGTGTACCAAGGGACATAATCCTGCAAAGGGGAGAAGTTCTCTGAGGTCATGTAGTGATGCTCAGCAAGGTTTTCTGAGGACAACCTCTTGCATTGCGACATCCTCAGAGTGTAACATTGAGTATTGCCTTACCTGCATAGTTCCCTTGAAAAGAAAAAAAATGCAAGAAATCTTTTTCAAGTTCTTTAATTGTCCTGACCAGATAAAATTAGAAATATACCTACAATCATCCTCACGGCCGGAGATAAAATTCATGAAGAGTAGTTGCATCTCTTTAAATCAGTCTCAACAATAGTCTCTGTGTTGTCAGGGCTCAGCCACAGATTTGAAACAAAAAGCTACATGCACATTGTCAGAGCATTATGTACAATAGACAAGAGAAACATAGCGTCTGTTTTGAGATCCAAAACAACACTGTAACTACAGAACATAATTTGTGAATTCGAAAGCAATTACAATGTTGACTTTCTCCAAAGTATAAAGTGCTGAATGACAATATTTATTAACCTGAAACCAATTTAAATCTATTAAATGCTACTCTTGCAAAAGAGCTAAAAAATATATCGAAAATATACCGCTGTGATCGCTGGTGACAACCATCACCGTTGATTTTTCTTCTTCACGTGCCTCTTCAGGCTGAAGAAGGACTTAAAGGCATTGATAAGACGAACCATGCTCACTAAAGGCTTGTCACTCTGCAAAAAGCAAGCGTAATATGCTACCTGTCAAGCGTCCTATTTTGAGATCAGGACATTTCTGAATCACTTCGAGAGCTCCAGGAAAACATTACTAACCGAACATTTTCAGTTGACGAACAAGCCGCTGAGTACAGCTTTAGTGTGTTTTCATTCGAAATATGAAGTTCTTGAACACGTTATCCTCACTCAAACTACGTAAACTACATTAATCTTTCATAAGGACTGAACCTCAAATATCTCAAGATTAAGTAATCAACCATCCAAATCGTTGAAAATTCCAAATTTCGTAAAAGATAGTGAATTACAAATTTACCCGCCATATTGAAAATCGCTGAATGCGTGCGTGACGTCATACTAGCAGTGATGTCTCGACTTTGGAGACGCCCCCTCCCACTGTAAAATAACCATTCGATGGAAGAGGACCCTAAAAGTGTGTGAAATACTGAAGAAACAATAGAATGAAAGAGAATCCTAAAAATGCGTGAGACACTATATTAACAATTCAAAAGGTCCATGAGAAACTAATATGTAAAAAATCCGTTGAAAGAGAATCCTAAAAGTGCACTAGATAGTTATGTAACAATCAAATGAAAGAGAACCCTTCGAGTGTGTGAGTTACTAATGTAACAATCCAATGAAAGAGAATCCTAAAAGTGCGTAGGATACTAATATTACAATCCATTGAAAGAGAATCCTAAAAGTCCATGAAATACTAATGCGTTAATTCATTGAAGGAAAATCCTTAAAGTGCACGGGATCATTACTAGTGTAACACTCAAATGATATTGAAGCTCGACGAGATGTTAAATTAACAATAGAATGAAAGAGAATCCTAAAAGTGCTTGAGATACTAACTTAACAATCCAGAGAAAGTTACCGACGTATCAGTCGATTGAAAGAAAAAATCTAAGTGTGCCAGATGCAAACTTAATGATCGAATGAAGGAGAATGCTTAAAGTGTGGGAGATACTATAGTGACAACCCAATAAAAGAGAAGCCGTGTGCGAGTTAGTTACGTAAGAATCTAATGAAAGAAAAATCCTAAAAATGAGTGTGATACTAACGAAGCAATCAATGGAAGAGTAGTAATGTTCATAGCCGTTGTATGGGCAAGGATGGAAAAGGGGAATTTTATGCAAGAACCAAGCAAGATTGCTGGGATCTGCGAGGGAAAACAATCGAGCTTGGTTGTTGCTTTTCCTCCAGACTGACTGGAAACGATTTGAGAGTTGTGAACTGACGCTAACGGAGTTTTAACAATAAGGCTCTATCAAGTAGTTTAAAGGGAAATTGTAAAAGCGCCTCAGTTAACAAACTCTTAGCTTTTTTCGGATTGCTTGCTGCTTTTGTTCGTCTGTTAGCTTTAATTTCTATTTTGTTTCCTTTAGTAATTTATTGTAGTAACCTGATAAAAATGACGCCATGCGCACGCGTTATGATACTCTCCTCAAACACTGGAAAAACAATTTTTGTTAACTGTCAACAGCACTAAGTCACATGTTTGCATGATTTTTCTATTCTTAATAAGCATACACTGCCTTGTTAATAATTCAGTTTCTTTGATGTAAAATGCTCCGTCAGGAAGCGTTATAGACATAACGACCGTCTAAAGCTAACGGCTGGATGTTTTACGGACTCGATCCGAACAGCTTTGGGCAAAATTCAGAGAGACGGCGCTATATGAGGAAAGAAGATGTCGAACTTTACTGACGGCGACAAAACTTTTGATGAATTGATTTGCTCGACAACTCCAAACAAGAAACCAGCCGTGGTATTCCTTTCAGCTTTCAACTTCCTTCTCTCCTTAATTGCTTCTGCCGGCAATTCTCTGATTCTAATCGCTCTTCAGAAGCCATCTTCTCTTCATCCTCCTTCGAAGGTTTTGTTGTGTAGCTTAGCTGCAAGTGATCTATGCGTTGGATTGATATTACAGCCTTTGGTGGCCATTCTGCTTACTGCTGTTGCCGTTGAATCTAAGTCTTTGTGTCGTCCCATGCTTGGCCTAAGCTTCCCAATAGGTGTAGTTTTGTTCGGGGTCACTCTGCTAACCTTGACCGCAATTAGCGTGGAAAGATTTCTTGCGTTAGAGTTAGGCACACGATTTCGACAGGTCGTCAGTTTCAGGAAAATTCTCGCACTTGTAATCTGTTTTTGGGTCTTAAATGTGGGTATGGCTGCTTTGTGCGTGTGGAAAGTTTTTATTTTTCTTTGGTACGGCTTAATGTTGATTTTAACATGTGTGGTAACTTCCACATTCACTTATGCAAAAATCTGTGCTAGTCTTCGCCGCTGCCAAACCGTTGTGCACCACCATTCGCTGAGCGAAGAGGAAAACGAAACTCGTTTGAACATTGTTAGATGCAAAAAGACAGTATCTTGTTCAATGTGGATTCTGATGACATTACTTGTGTGCTATCTCCCTTACTCTATAGTAACAGCTGTTGCGACGCAGAATGGTTTGACTCCAGCCCTCGTCCTGGGCTGGAGGTTCACCTCATCGATCGTTTTCCTCAATTCGTCATTGAATCCATTCCTCTACTGCTGGAAGATTGCAGAAGTGAGACAAGCTGTGAAAGACACGATTAGAAAATCGTTTTCACTGGGTTAAAAACGGAAATCATCTCATAATTTAGCGTGGATGTCTAGAGAGTATCAACTTTTGTATATGGACGCATCGTCCATGAAATCTGCAAAGAAGGACATGTTGTTTTATGTTAAAGAGTCTGCTTTTTTATTTCGCTTCAGAAGAAACTCTGATGTTGGTTGCAAGAAAACAGTCTTTAAGAGCAAATATCCTTAACTCAGAGAAATATTCGCTTAACGAGACGCTGGTTGCCTTTTTTCAGCTTAAAAAGAAGAGGTTTTCTTAATTTTTTAATTTCATGCCAGCGATTTTAAATGATTTATTCGACCGCCTTTGTGAAAAATATTCAGAATTAAGGATTCAATGATTTCGAGTTTAAATAAGTGTAATCACACCTTGACAGTCGTATTGACGTATGTGACTGAGTCAGGGAAAATGGAGAGCCTAGGAAGCCGACAGTTTCTTTCAATAATTTAACATCCGATGGTTGTCTCCTCTATGGAATAAGACAAAGCAAATATATCAGTAAGGTGTTCCAAATTAGAGGGTGGTGACAATTGATTCCGGTGACAAGTGAGGAAACATATGCTCCAATGTAATTAAAAGGCTCATGTCATAGCGGGTAAAGGATGTTTTTTAAAGTGCACTCAAGAAGTTAAAAGCTAATGTTAAAATCCTTAGATAATATTTTGTATAGGTTTCTCCGGTTACTGCTGACAAAAGATGAGAAACAGTTTAAACCTAACCGTAAAAACATTACTCGTTGGATAAATGTATGAGTGGGTTTATGGCCATTTAAAGATGAAAATACAGAAGAAAGCGTTGACAATGAACAAGGTAATAGATACCCCGGCTGAAAGAGCTTCCGAAAGTCATGGGGGTTTTAATTAAAACTTCTCTCTCTCTTTTTTTTTTTTATCATTTTCGGCAACTGACGATAACGTGCTTTTGTGCTTTTGCCACGGGACGTGATAGCCTATAGCAGCTAGGAATTTTTTAAAGTATTCCTTTGATGGAGTATTATAGAGGCTATTTACGGTCTCTACGTCTTTTCGGTAGTCTGGATCGAAATCGACGCCTGGCAAAGGTTGCAGAGGAAATGAGCCTTTTCCTTTTATTTTCTTTTTAACCGTGCGATATTGATCAAGTCGATTATCCAAATCTCGCATTTTTCAATTTGTTTGTTTTTTTCAGTTCTAGATGAGCCTTAGTATAATTTAGCGCGCGGTGGATACATGCAAAGAACTATAACCTTTCAATTCCAGTCCCAAGATTTGATCAGTAACTCTCCTAGCTCTTACATCTATTATTTCCTTAAAAATCAATAGAGAGAGTTTCGTTCTTATTGGAATAAATCTCTCTGGCTGATAAGTTAGTCACCATTCTGGTCGCCTGATCGACGAATAACGTGGGAATAGGCAAGGAAAGAAAAAAATTGCATGTGAATCAGGTCTTGGAGCGAATGGGCCAATCTATAAGGCAGATGTTCCCGCAACTCAGAACGAGTCGCCTAAAAATCTGGAGAAGTGTTTTGTCCCAAAGACTTTCTAACTGCGAGACATCAAAACAACTCTTTTCATTACGTTTTCTTTTATTTCCACCGAAAAAAAGCTTTCAGATAAATTACAAATATGTGAGTATCCTCAATTGGCTTAAACACCTGCCGGAATTGTGAGAGCATATATAAATACCAAGTTAAAAGGAACCGAAAACTAAACAAAGCTGACATTATTTGGAAATGGCCAACGTAATGGGAGTATATTACGCATTTCTGAAAAAGTTGTGAAGTAGAAAAATTACCTTAGCCTTTCAGGCCTGTACTCTTTAGGATGTGGTGTGAAATCGTACTGATATTACGATCTATTTAAACAATAACTTCCAAACGAATCACAAAAAAGAGTGAACTGAAAAAACAAAATTTATGCCTGCACAGGTAGTTCGTCCTGCCGAAGCTTATATCTCGGTTTCAGGAGCAATACGTTGCAAGGAGCATAGCCAATCCCTTCCCCTCCCCCCAAAAGAAAAAGGCGTAACTGGCCTTGGCGATCTTTTCATGCGATTCTGTTGTTTTTGGCTTCTAAGGTTTTTCTGTGGGCTCTCTGATCCCCCCCCCCGCCAAGGAACATACATCAACTTCGTGGAAATTCTAATATGACTTGGGAACATTAGGAAAAAAGATTCTCCACTTAGTTCCGTTACTAATTACTGAATAAGCTATCCTGAGAGGAAGAATTAAGAATCAATTTGTATATTCATTTTGCTCAGAAATAATATATAGATTTAGCTTAGTCACGGGCCCTAGGGCTTCCGGTTGAGCACACTTTTTTAAGGTCAGCGGTATCTCCGAGTGTATGATCGAAAAAAAGATGGCGAAGTTACGGAACGTTTTGTGCGGCTTGTTGCAAATAAGGAGGCATTACGCCCGGTAAGATAAAGAGATCCTTCTTTCTTAACCATTTGTCATTTTTTACGCTAACTGAACGCAAATTTTTCAAGGCTTTCGGAGGTTGGACGTTTCCAAGAGCCAAAAACCAGCGGAAAATATGAACCAGGACAGGTAAGCCGCTGGTGAAAATCCACTTTAAAAATTGGAACGCGTCAATATGCCGAAGGTAGTGCTCGGAGGTCTCTTACAATACGTTTTCGCGTTAGTTCTGCTATGTTGGCCTGTTTAGTAAACTGTAATGGCTTCTTATCGCCAGTTATGTAATACAAAAGGAAATATGTATTTTAATTTCGATTGAACCTTTAGTATTTGTTACGACCCGCACTTGACCTTGATTTGGGACTGTCATTCGTCACTTTTCGAGGAACAGCAAACTAGTGCCCAAAGGAAATTAAAAAGACATACGTCTCATTTTTCTTTGAAATCGAAAGTTATATTCTAAGTTTAGGTCCAAAATACCGGCAAATATTGCAGTGACGGTTTCCTATCCGTGATGTCGATAATGTGCACACGTGATATTGAAGGTTTCTGAGAAGTAACGGAAACCTTGTGGTTGACCCTGATGTGCAGGAGGCAATTTTTTTTTCACTGTTTCTGTCGTGATTAGATATTTGTTAAAGCAGCAAAGACGATCAGTCAAATTTTGATTGGTTTGCTAATAGCAAGAGATTGATTGCTACATAGGTTACCTAACGCAGGGACCTAGTGTAACTCAGGGAGACCTCGCCAATTTGATGGTCTGATTCTCAACCGCTACATTACAGTAATTTTTAAAGTGTTCTCTGTTTGAATAAAAGAGTTAAACTTTGAGCTTAGTCACTGAATAAAGCAAGTTGGCTGATTCAAGCAAGATGCATGTCTCTTAAAAATGTTGTTAGACATGTCTAGTGCACCAACAACTTCAGAAGAGCATGACTCATGAAATCTGAAGATCTGGGACACAACACCTCTTAGGCGAGTCAGGATCTTTTCTTTGTCCATGGTTAGGATAGAACTTACTACATTTCTCAGTAGTTTGTTAGTGCCAGTTTTCCCATCTTGTGTCCAAACATTTCACGTGTAGGCTTCTTTTGGATGGGAAGATACACTCAATGTCCATAATTCCTGACTTTCTGCTTGTTTTGTTCTGTATTTCCTCAAAGCTCTTTCTGCACAGATTATTTGGTTACAGAGGGGTAATACTATTCACTTGGTCAGCAAGAGTTTATGACAGAGATAAAGAAACAAGAGAAAATGAAAAGTGAGTTTATCTCTTTCCAAAAAAAAAGATTAGATTATTGTACTTCATTTGTGATCAATGCAAAATTTATTGAATTGTATCCAGACTTAAATTGTCAGAAACTGTATGTTTTAATTTAATATCCTTTTGCAGGTTTCTTTCTCAAATGTTTTTTCTTTTTTCCTTAATTTTTTTCCTTCCAAGAAAATAAGCAAGGTACTTGTAAACTCCTATCAGTTACTACACCTCCCACTGCTAAATTCAGTCTGATAAATGATCTGTATTCAAATGATTCAATTTAGAGACTGTTAAATCGAATGTTAAAACACCCAAATAGTATGTTCATTTATAAAATAACCTTAAAATTTACCTTTTTTTTGTCATTTGTGAGGTTAACAACCTTTATTTGGCTTGCAGATCCTTTGATGAGAATGGATCATATAATCCTGGCAAAGAGATCAAGGCAGAAACACAGACATACTATCAGGCACTAATTGATAACAGAGATTCGCCATTTGTTGTAAGTTTACAAGAACCAAAACCACCCATTTGCAAAACTCCTGAATAAAGTTGAGTTGCAGACAATAAACCCACTGAGTGTATTTAGTGCAAAAAATTGTTATCCCAATCTTATTTCAATTAACTTCTTCACATTCTGAAACTATGGGAAAGTTTTTTTCTTGTGAAACTAAACAAATTACATTCAATTACATCCTAATGTTGAAAGCTTTTTGTCATTGTCTTCATCAATATTTCCCAATACTTCTCAGTATCAAGTGTGTACTGTCCATGTTCATTCTTGGAGTGATTTCCAACATAAATTGCTTAAGTTCATTTTCACGATGCTATTACTCCCTGCAAATGATTGTTAATCTTATTATTTACAAGCTTGGATATTTCTTTGTGTATCTTAATTCTTTCCCAAATTTGGAGATGTAGATATTTTGCATTTTACATGAAACATTACCTGGTATATTTTTTAAACAAAAGCCACAACAGTTTTTGTCGTCAGCTTTGTTTTTGTTGTTGGAGCTTCAGTGTAATATGTACCTCAATAAAGAGCACAGGTAACTACATGCAATTTTGATAAGTTCCAAAGGAGGTATTTTTTATGTTGTACTGTTGAAAAATACTCACAGAGTAGTAACCTAGTTCAGTGTTCAGGTTACTTACAAGTTGGTCACTAGTTTAGCACAAGCATATAACTATGATATAACAATGTTATTAAAAATGTTCCTGTGTTGTATAGAGTTTTTTATTCAATCAATAATTTTCTTTTTTGTATTTCAGAGAGCTCAACCAGAAATTGTGACCTTCCTTGGGTATGAAAGTGACAATGCTCTTTATACAATTCCAGGTGATCACCCAAGATTGTTTCTTGGAATTATTTGTTTACATTTTATTTTCTGGCATGAAACAGTAAATTGTACAAAATTGCTTTCTTTTAGCTAAACTACCCGAAGCTTGTCATAAAAAAACTCTTAAATTGTGAATGGAAGGAAAGGAGCAAGCAAGCTTGCTTGCAGTTCAGCCATGCCAAAGTTTTCACTTACCAGCTTTGCTGGATTTTGGCTAGTGGGCCCTTGGAAAAAGAAAGTTAAAGTTCTGTAGTTAATCTTAGTTTTTTTCATTTCAAAAAGTGTGTTGTTGATGATGTATATATATTTTTTAGGTCTGGACTACATTTCCCAGGAGGATATCCTTCCCTATATGGTTTCCGATGCATTTTCCCGTCCAATCCACCATGAACTGTTTGATCGCTTTTTGTATCCTGAACCTGGAAGAGGTGCAGTGTAATTTAAATGAAAATCCCTTGTCCATGGATTGTGCTTGCACATCCTACAGCCACTGACTGGTGCTCCTCCTTTAAAATTATAATTTCCCTTCTTTGAAATGTGGAATTACATGGCTGCCTGTGGATACATTTTTTTATATCTGAGGGAGTGAGTAAAGCAAACAAGTGAGAGACTCCATCACTAGGAATAGGCAAATTAGTATCCACAAGTGGGCATGTAATCGTTTCTTTTTTTTTGACACAGATCTAATTATATTTAAATCAAAGACAGTTTAATAGCATGAGGTTTAAAACAGTGAATGTAGAGATTACCTGCATATTAATTCTGCTTACAGAAGAGCTATTTCAACTCTCTGTAAAAGTTGAATGCAGTGTAAAGAATGTTCATAAAATTTAAAAAAAGAAAACTTACGCAAAAAGTAAAACTGCCATTTACCACCTGGTAACTATCATGATTGTGTTACCTTCTCTTGCAAAGATACGAATGGCATTTTTACAAGGTTTGGTGAAGATATGTTTTTGAAAGATTGATTTCATCGATATCTACATAATCATTTAGACTTAATGTACACTGTGTGATGTTTCCTAGCAAATGGCCATTTTTTTAAACTGCCATGAAATAATTTTAAGCAGGAAGATAAAAGCAAGTCTCTAAAAAAGTTTTGTTGATATTTTCTATTTAATCCTAAAATGCCAGATCAATGGTTAAAACTATTAACAAACTTCCAATAGCCTTTTGAAAATGATTTGATAGTGAAGGATATTCAAACTTCTCAGAAAAGCAGTGCATTTCTCACTCTCTAATCTTACTTCATTCCTCATATGCTGCCATCTATCAAACATGATCACATCACCAACACAGGTGAGGCTTGTGTCCCTTTCAGCCATTCAGTGTTTATAGTCTCCCTGCTCAAATTGTGGGTGCATGTACATATTTTGGATGGAAATCCAAGGGTAGGAGATAGCATAATTCTTACATATACACAGTCCCTGTGTGTGACATTCATAAACCATCTTTAGCCTTCTAAAACAACATCTCTTCACTCTCTTTTCTCCTCCTATGCTACAGAGGGTTTATCATCCATCTGCAACTTGCGTATATTATTCCCTTCAGTGCCTCTCCAACAACAGGTTTTTTTTAAAATTTAAGAGGGTACTTGTAAGAAAGTATCAACCTTAAGAAACAAAAATTGTTTTCCATTGAATTAGAACCGTCTTTTGCTGCACGAGAAGCACTCCAATCCTGGCAGGAGAAGAATCATAAGTGGTTAGAATTAACAGATGTACACAGAGAGTCAACAAACAATGTAAGGATTACCGTAATGCCATTCTACATGGGAATAAAGGTATGTTGAGTATCAATATTTAATTTCAGCTAAAGACTTATATACGTACCCTTCAAAGAAAAGTGTGAACGACGAAGTCTGGCATAAGGGTTTGACAGAAATATGCAGAATATAACCCCAATTTAAAATAGTTTAGTTTTATCAACTGAGTTGACAATGTAAATTGGCCACTGCAAAGAGTTTCTCAAGCTGAAGTTTCGAGCGTTAGCCCTTCGTCAGCCGCTCTGTGTTGTAATACCAACCCTCCTCACCAACGCAGCGCCACAGTTTCTTAGGAAACTTACCCCCCTAACCCTGTAACTCCCAGGATCTGATTGTTAATTCTCCCCTCTAGCTGCTAGACATTTCCTTGTAAATTAGTTGCAAGAATTTGGCGTTAGATCAGGATGACAACTTCTAGCTGATACATTTGATTACTCATAGTAGGGTGAAGTTACATGTGAATCACTTCTAGGAGTTAAAGGGTTAAACTGTGATACGTGACTCGTCCAGAGTCTATCTCTTTACAATCGGATGGACTTTCGAAGTGGATTAAACGGCTAATAGCTGAGCAGAATTTATGCTCTGTATTAGTGTTATCCAGACAGATTTGATTTCCGGAGCAAGTAGTTATCTGTAGATCTTAATTATCTTTTGTTTTTATTGTTGTTTTCAGAACACGCTTCCAACGCCGGATTATTGGGTATGCATAAAGCGATATTCATTACTCCTTGGTTTGAATATAACTTGTGGTACTGACCTAGTATTCTCTGTTTCAGTGGCGTTATTGTATTAGAATTGAAAATCTTGGACAAGAGACTGTACAACTTCGTGAGAGACATTGGAGAATATTTAGTCTGGCAGGCACATTAGAGACTGTAAGGGGGAGAGGCGTGGCTGGACAGGTAAGATTTGACGGGGGACAGGCAGGGACGGCAGAATGCCTTTCAAAAGTTTGAAAATTTTTCATTGTATATTTGTAAATTATGAGGGAATTCGAAGAGATAAGAACCACTTTATAATGCTCTGTTGGGATTCTATTTCCAAATGAATGTGACGATAGAAAAGTGGAAAACCTTTTTTCGTCGCTGCAGAGAAACGATTGTAAACTAAAAATGGTGTATTGGTGACTCGTCTAGACGACCTGGCGAAATGCTGGGTTTGATAGCAAAGTGAAAGAGCTTTTTTTTCGTCGCTGCAGCGAAACGATTGTAAACTAAAAATAGTGTATTGGTGACTTGTCTGGACGACTTCGCAAAATGCTGGGTTTGATTTCAATAACCTTCGTGTCCGTCACACGAAAACGAACTATTCCGTAGTCTTTCTCTCCTTCTTCTCATGAACCAGAAAACTCATCACAGGTTGTACAAGGTTAACTGAGCGTCCAAAGTATTTTGGGATCGCGTCGCTTCTGTTCCTGAACTCTCTGTGTTTGGTGTAGAAAAGTTGACGTAATAGATGCAAAACTAAACCTGAACCAATCATGAAATGGTCATTCGCGTTTTCACACGCTTCAGAACGTTTTTAGGGCTCTCATTGGCCTCTTCCAACGCGTTCCTTTGGACAGGCCATTGCGATTTATTGGTTTGGCTTTTATATAATTGATCGAAATGCGCCTTTAGTTAACTGCCTTTGTCCTATTACTTTTGAGTCAACGAGTCGGAATGTTTTACTGGGATGTACCAGAATCTGTTGATGAATCTTCGCTTCCTACTTACGTAAATTGTTTTATGTCTTGATTTCTAGGAGCCTATTCTTTCGCCGCAACAGCCAGCTTTCCAATACAGCAGTCACATATCATTACAGGCACCCAGTGGAAATATGTGGTAAGTGTGACAGAGCTTATGGCTAAGTATCGATCTCTGCTGAGTTATTTTACAATTGATTGTCGATAGTTTGTGCAATTTTCAGTTTAGTGACGGAAGTAATCCGCCGTTGCTTTGGTTTTGCTTTACTTCGTAAAACAATTTACGTAAGTAGGAAGCGAAGATTCATCAACAGATTCTGGTACATTGTCGATAGTTTGTGCAATTTTCAGTTTAGTGACGGAAGTAATCCGCCGTTGCTTTGGTTTTGCTTTACTTCGCTGTGTGATTGGTCCAAAGGACTCGCGCCACTCTCTCAACCAATCAGAATAAAACCAAAACCAATCGCAACTTGGTCAGCGTTTTCCCGCCCTTCAGCATTGTATTTACTTTGAATCTTGATTGGCTCGTTGCCTTAGTTTCTTTCGTTCTGATTGGCTATTATGATTACTTTGGTTTTTAGTTTTACGCCACTCAGTGGAAATGCGCTCTGTCAGGATAAACTCTATTTGCTTGAGCTTCACTTCACCACCATCTCTGTTAGTGTTAAAAAATGACTGTCGCTATTTTCCAAACAGTCAGACGCAAATTAAAACAATACACGACATGGTCACGTATTCTTCCCCGCGCTTCGCTTCAGTTAGAGAAGTATTCTTTAAGTTCTCGTTGGCTCATTCTTTTCGAATTGCGAGCTAAGCGTCAAAAGGTACCAATTGGATCTTGCTGGTCGAATTTTCTAGCCACCCGATATCACGAGCCTACCAATTTCGCGGAGCAGAGACTGAAGTGCGGGATGACAACGAATGACTTTGTCGTGATTGGTGTTAGTTTTCCATCAGACTTTTTTGAAGATGGCGCAAGTTTTCTTGATCAATCTTTGAGGAAAGATAAGCAAAGCTAATACAATACCATTTTGCTTTCGATGCTCAGTTGAAAATTGCTCTATTCCCTCTCTAATACTGACTTGGACTTTCTACTTTTACTTATTTATTTATTTATTTCTTCCTTTTAATTCATAAAATCCTGGGGACAAATGATGTAGAAATCATCCATTCATGTCTCAGAATCTTTACAGTGCTCTTAATTTAATCTTTATCTGTTATATACAACCCAATTTTATGTTGGAGATGTCCTGTAGCTGTTTTTCTCTTTTTCTTCGCTCTACAGGGGTAAATATCGCTTCGAACGCTCAGACGGAAGTACGTTTGAAACTCCCATTCCTCCGTTTGCACTGGATAGCAGAGAAGAGGATACGCCTGATTCTCCGGGAGCTTCTTGAAAATGAATTTAGAAACATGATGCCCAGCTTAGCAGCCTTAATGGCTGTTTCTTTTCAGTCAAGCGGGAATAGCGAGGCCGCGTGAGAGAATGGGACGAAAGCGTTGGGAAAAAAAAGAAGAGCGGAAGAGAAGGATGGGGAAACAAAGGTCCAATTGCATTGTCTGCCGCAGGACTTCAATTGCGCAACTAAGTAATTGGAGGAAATAGTGACGCAGAGCGAAACAAAGAAGGGAAGTTTGGGGCAGATCGCGTGAACCCGACCCAGGCTCCGTGCGTTTCTTGCTCTGTGGTATTATCTCGCGCGCTCCGTATACAAACTACAGTACTGGAACAGCCTGAAAATGTCTGTGCTCGTCTGTAGGATCTTCCCTTTCTTCCCGTGTCTTTCTTCCCGTTCCTCACCCCACTTACCGCTCCAATTTTTTTTTTTTCTCTTAGTAAAGTTTTGGCTGAGATTTTGCTGTTTTTTTTTTTTCGCTCTTTGCTTGCTATTTGTTCACTTTTCGTTTGCCGTTTGCTCTTTACTGTTTTTTGCTCACTTTTCGCACTGACTCCCGCTTGGGTAAAACGAAATGGAAAGACTGCGCGCAAACTAAATACTTTTCTTCGCATAAAAGTAAAAGTGAAACAACTGGTGTTTACTTCGTAACCAAACTAACGTATTCAATATTTCAAGAACTAGTCGCCATGGAATCCTAGAACACAGAAAAGTGGTCGTGACATAACACTTTTCATAGCTCACTTTTCGCACTGACTCCCGCTTGGGTAAAACGAAATGGAAAGACTGCGCGCAAACTAAATACTTTTCTTCGCATAAAAGTAAAAGTGAAACAACTGGTGTTTACTTCGTAACCAAACTAACGTATTCAATATTTCAAGAACTAGTCGCCATGGAATCCTAGAACACAGAAAAGTGGTCGTGACATAACAAACTCAGTGGGGTGTCTAAACATTTGGTATTATCATTGCATCTGGAAAAAATGTGAATATTGCTTATTGAGTGAAAAAAGCTGCATGTTAAAGCTGTTGACATCAGTTTAAATTTTTTGTACTAATTATGAAACAATTCCAATGAAGTTTTCGTGGCCTGACAGACATGTTTTGTGATTATGATGCCAATGACATGCGCAGCAACTGTCGCAATTGGGAGAAGCGTTGCGTGACACTCTTAGGCGATGCGTGGTATAATAATCGAGGCATCGTCGATTCTTCGTGTGGGGGACATGTACAGTCGTGGACAGCGTATTGCCCTCCTTAAAGCACTTAGGAAGGCACTCAAAGAACGAAACCTGTCATTTTGGTATCAATGAAATGAGGCAAACATTTCCAAACATGTGTATTATTGTGCAATAGATGATAAGAGACCAGGCGAGTGTATCGCTATACGTGTGGTTACTTCTGTGGAATCATGGCGGTTAATACTTTGAACGAACGCCTTTTGATCTTGTTAGTTTTTTGGTGCCCGACTTTTCCGTTTCTCCCTGATAAATGCGAGGAACAGAATTTTTTCTTTTGAATTCTTTTATTCGATTTTTCATTTTTCCTGGCGCTTTGGATAGGAAAAGAAAGGAGGGAAGATATTACTTGATTTAGAAAGGACCTGTGATCTATACGATTTAACATTCGAAAGAGACAAGAATTTCTCTTTCCGGATGTTTTGTTTTCGCCGTTCTCAATCCATGATCAAATCATGAAGTTCCAAAGTAGCAAAAGCGAGTACTACTCTCATCCGAAACTGCATTAGAACTGCCCCTTTGAAATTCATTTGAAGTGAAAAGAAAAGAAAATAGAATTTTTGTGTTGTAAAACTGACTCATACAGACCTTGTTGGTCGATGGAATCGTATTTATCTTCCAATGTTTTTCAAAGAAGATCTTACTGCCTGTCATTATTTAATCATGAATTGGTGTATTTCTGATCAACCAGGCTACGAAGATATGAAAGACTGATATTCTAAAAATATACGCGAAATGGTGTCATCCTGACGTTTAATAGATAGCTACCTTAATTTTTATGTAAAGAAAAATTAAACATGAAGCCTCTTTGTAGTGATTTAGTTTCGTCTACTGTTTAAGGAAATTTGGGAGAAAATTGCTGTTTTATTTCAAGTGAGCAAAGAAGGTTGTGAAGGTTAAAGTTATTTTTTTCCTCCGATGTTTTCTTTGGGCTCCTCTTGGCGGAGTTTCTCAGATCAAATTTGGTATACTACGTTTGTTAAGAGCTTTCAAGGGAGCAAATAAGAGAGGGTTGACCTTGGGAGTCTCCTCATAGAAATCTCCGTTAACAGCAGACTGGTCTGCTTCCTATTCATATCCGTCACCAAAATGAAATTTGCTGTGTTATTTGATGAACGGGTTAATCTTTGTCAAGGAAAAGAGGACAAAATTCGTCCAGCCATTAGTCTATCATCTCGGTTAGATGATTGATTAGAAGATACTCCCACAGCTCTATAGCTTTTCTCAAAGTTCAGGTACCACTCTGGGCTTTTTAAAGTCAATTAACCTTATCCTGCACGGGTTGAGTGGACACGAAAACTATAAGATGTAATTTCAGTTTAGTTTGCCGGATTGGTGCTAATCTTGTTTCAGGCTAGGTAATAACAAATGGTTTGAGAAAGCCGAGTGAGAAGAAAGAAAACACTTTTAGAACTATTAACCCTGAAAATGGCCTACTTTGCATCAAGCACCTTCATCTGAGAAGACCTGCCTTCGGCAGCTGTTGTTCAGTTCAGTTCTTGCGCAACCGCTATGCGTGGACGTTGGATTTTCGAACATCACGTTTCGCATATATCATCTCGGAACGATATACGTGAATTTGATATAATTAAAATGGTAAGAGACTTCGACGTAGGCGAAAACGTCCAAAAATTGTGCATGTTGTCGGAACTATTCTGGAAGAATTTATCATTCTTGAAAACACAGTTTTGCACCCCTCGCAACCAAGCGGCACTCGATCAACTGTCTCCAGTCTTCGCTCGGTCATTTGTTTCCATCTGTGCGTTGAAACTGAAAGGTGTCATCTGTAAAAGCAATGATCCTGGCAGCTCACCTGCGAAGATCATTGCTTTACTTTATTATCAGTCCCAGGTAAATAAAGGTCAAATTTCACTAAAACTATATAAGGTATCGTGTTTATCAAATTGGATACAAAGATGTCGAGGTCTGAATTAGGCGGACAGCTTCGTATTTGATCGATGGCGCTCTCAAAGCGAATATAAGTTGTTTTGGCGATGTATGCGAGCCATTTTGGCTCGGCCGGAAGCAATTATCATATCGAAAAATAAAAAGACTGGCGTATGTTGCTAATTGCTATTGTAACCGTACCAGAAAATTTCCACACGCATATTCTCTTTAATAGGCTTTTACAATTGGCCTTGGATGAGGGGGGGTTTGAACCACAATCAATCCTTAAAGTGCGTGATGAGATGTTTGATTAATTTCACATCTAAGGTTATTTCTAGTCTTCCAGAATTTTCTTCAGGTATGTTTCTAATGCCATTATTTTCTATTCTTAGTTTCGACTAATTTAACTGTGTTGCTTTCCCTTTTTTCTTTCCCTTCTTAATGACGGACTACTCAAAGAAAATTGGATTTTCGCTGTCTTAGGTAGCTTTTGTTTATCCGCGTGGTGAAGAAGTCAAGATGTTCCATTGTCTTAGACATCGGTATTATGTACATTCCTCCTACTCAGCACCAGCTTTGAATTTGTTACTTAATTTTTTTTTCAATTCAACAGTTATCCAAAACGAGCTCTGGAAATTTAATGGCGTCATTTTTAACTCCTCGTTCTGGAATTAGTTTTAAATAGACAGCGACACGTGATCTAAGTTCATCTGTAAAACTGCTAGCAGTCTAAATGGGCCCCTTTGTGCTAATGAGATTTTCTTTTATCAGGAACACAAATTGATCTCCATTGCTTAGCGACGCCTGCGTCACTCACTTAATTAAAAAGACTTAGCTGTAATAAATTAGGACTCTCTTCTTCTTTTGTAATAATCTTGGTTGTGGTTTTTGCGGTTTTAAGGAAAGGGCACTCCAGCGAAAGACAGCTTTTTGTTGTTTGAATTAGATATTAATTTGTTAATTTTCTTTGGTAGGGTTTTAAAATATTCCGTGTTCCGTGGCGTTGTCTTCCAAGTATATCTTGGTAAATATATGCAGTATTTCCTTAGTAAGATCGTGCAGTCACTCAGATCCGCAATTCGTGGGTGTCCTGAAACATTCTTCAGCAAACTTTTTGTCGCCTTGGCAAATGAGTTATGATTAATGCAGAACGTTCTATGAGTCCTGAAAGGGTACTATTCTAAAATAATGAGCGTGAATTTAACTCCCTCTCTCTACATCTATCTGCGTTGTACCTATTTTTAGATCGCGCCGGGAGGCATTATTTTGTAACAGCCAAATATGGCGATGTTGTCCAAATATAGCACAAGCGGGGTTCTCTTGTTTGTCACGTTCACTGCTGCGCATGACCTAAGTTAGTTTACTCACAACACTCATCATGGATATGGAATTTTATAGAATCGTTTAATATCATAATTACAAGTATTCGTTAAGCTTGTTTAAAGTTAACGTCCGAAGCGCTGTCACCGATCTATTGTTGCAACGTCCTCATCGTGCGAGACGCATAGATTTGCCACAGAAATGCACGGAGGTATGGACTGGAATCGCGAGCGGGAACGCTCTGCGGCGGCCAGAGGTGTTTTTATTTGCAATTATTTAGGTAACTGAAGTGAAGAGATTGTGGTATTGTTAAGCCGCAAAATGCCATCCTCCAGTATACCGGTCCCAGATAGGGATCTGGGAAATTCTCCGTCTTCGCGAAAAGGTAACGTAGAGGATTTACGAAGGCACAACAACAAACTAAAGTCAGATTTGGAAGCGGAGCGCGCCAAGGTTCGTCAGGTTCTGCGCGATAAGTCTGCAGAGTTGAAAAGGATCCAGGACGGGTTTGAAAAGGAAAAGCAAAGAGCGGTCGAACAAGCGACGAAACGATTGATTACTGAACATGCGGCAGAGCTAAAGAAAGCTCGAGATAACACTGCTAAAGAGAAAGATAACGAACTTCGACAAGTGCTTAAGTTCAAGGAGGAAGAAGTTAAGACTATGAGGCAACAAATTACTGATGAAAAAGAGAAAAACAGACATGCTGAGGAAGAGTTAAGAAGGGTTTTAGTCAATAGGAGTAAGGAAGGAGAAGATCATTCTGAAGTGGAGCGAAAATTACGCAGCGAGATCGCTACACTCAAAGAACAGAAGCAAAAGGCTGAGGAACTATATCGAGCCAAATCTTCAGCGGACAACGAAAAAGCTGAACTGATACGTCGCTTGAAAGCCGATCACGAACTCGAGCTTCAAAAATTTGTGAAAGACTCGAAACGTGAATCAATTCATAGTTTACAACAGAGGAGGTTGACCGAGAAGGCATTAGAAGAAAAGGAGCATGAACTAGCTTACAAGGATCATTTAGCAAGGAAACTCGAAGCCGAGAAGGACGACCTTCAAAGAAGATTGTCTGGAGATGTCGAGATGTTGCGGCGATCAACTCTTCGGACGGGCGCTTCGTTTGATTTAGGTGCCAGCGATCGCCTGGATGAAAGCGTAAGTATCGATTTTGCATGGAAATTTGTTGCCTTTCTTCTTTAAAAAATGCAATAACGCTTGAATAATTTTTGGTTTTTGTTAGGTTTGTTGTGGATTTAAACTAATTAGGATGGCTTCCTGCCGCTCTATATCGACAAAGTGCAAATTGATTTCCTTGTACACGTCCCAATTGTCTATATTTATAACAACAACGTACAAAGCCCTGCTTATTCTTTAGTTTGATTTCTAATCGTGTTTATATCTGGTTTTTACAATCAGTGATACTTTGTTGGTTTAAACGGTGTTTTACTTCCGCCGATATGTCGTGAACAACTCGATATAACGTTCAAATTGGATTAGAGAAGAGTGGATGATTGAAAAGATATAACAACTTATGACACACAAGGCGTTCTCTCTTGTTATTTTGTTAATCACGTCTTTAGAAAATTTAAGTCTTAAATGGTACAGGGATCTTGCCTTTCCTGGTTGAAAAACTATTAGAACAACTTGTTAGTAGAAATTTAGCTCCTAGAAATCAATATTCTGGGTAACAGCAGAATTCTGCGTAACAGAGGTATTGATATTAGACCGGCGTTCAGTGAAGGCTTTTATGAGTTAAGACGGGCTGAGGAAACTGATAAAAGCACTCATTAACACATCACTTTTAAAATTTCTATACTCAAGGGATTTTTTTACCGAAAATTGTTGACATGAATTTGCTAAAATTCAGTATATTATTTGTAAAGATATTGTTTGTTTTTTCTTCTTGTACCTCACCTCAATATTGAATTGTTCGGGTAGGTAGTAGGTTTCCCCTTAAGAACAGTTCATTTGAACCTCTTGAAGGTTAACAGTAAACAGAAAATACTTTTGAATGTTATTGCAAACATGAACAAAATGATTTTTGTAAGGAATAGTGTAAGGCTGATTTAGTGGTATGGAAGGGTTATGCTAGACATCTTTTATGGTTATCTTTTAATGACCTATGTATCCTTATTTAGTCAAGTGTTTTTCATTTTGTGGCCTTCATTGTTAATATTTTTCATTGTCAGTACATTATGGTGCGTACTTTTCCAGTTGTTTTTTTTTTTTAGTACAAATTTACCAGAATTTTTTAAAGTCAAACTACTGCATGATAGCATATTATATTTATATCATATTCACTTTTGCCAAAATGGCCACAATGTATCTCATTTTGATTATAAATTTTGTTCAAAAGTATTGCTCAATTGGCAAATAGTGCATTTACAATTTTGCAGTGTTAATTAAGTGAGTGGGAAAGTTTTACATAACATGGGAACACGATCTTTCTTTAGTAAGTGATAATGGTTTTCATATGGCGTCAGCAGGAGAAAGCTTTGAAAACAGGAAAAAAAAAGCATCCATGCTGATGGCACTGACCCCTAGTTTTCTGTAAGATTCTGTTTAGGCAAGTATAATTATAATATGAGTGCGCAAATTGTTATTTTGCTATCAGCTTAATTAAGGATATTTCCTCTCCAAAGCTTTCAAACAATATTTGATTATATCTATTGCTTAAGTGCTATCTGTTCTTTATATTGGTTGCCCTCCTCATATTTTTGGCCTCTATTATCATTTCCTTCACTTCCCCCATAATTTTAAGCCACACACACCCAAAGGTTTTTTTTTTGTTCATCATATTTCTTGCCTTTTTCACCTTCTTTTTATCAGGTTTAAGGTTTACTTCTTTAATAGGTACAAAAATTCAGTAATCTTTGTGATTGTTTTTTTTTTTTGCTACCATAATCATAGAGATGCAGTGGCTATTCATGATTTGAGAAATGGAGTCTTTATTCTTCCATTGGCTATTTTCCCATTCCATTTTCATTTGGGTGTTATCTTTTAATTTTTTCACTTTTTCGTGTTGTTAATTTTTTCTCAAAAGACATATGGTGGCATGGCTTTTTTTAAGCATTTAGTTGTTCTCTGTGTTTCTCAGATAACTCTATTACTTTCAATGGACAATAATTTTCTATTACATTTATGTTCATTGATCCATGATATTTGTAATAATCACCTCTCTTAATCAGCACAGTGTCCCTTTGCAATTTGTTCCTCCATTTTGTATAATTCAAGGGTAATAACCCCAAAATAGTTTCTATTTAAGGAGCAGCAGGAAGTTTAAACCAAGGTGAAAATTATAGACAAAGTACCCTTGGAATGGGAATAGAAATACAATTGAAGGTGATATAGAAACTTTTTTCCACAGCCCCTTGTACGAAAAGATAAAGAACGAGAGTTGAAAAAGAAAAATGCTGAATTACAATCAAAGGTGGAAAGCTTAGAGAAAAAGTGTGCTGTACTGGAGGTTTGTCATTTTTACTTTGTGATATTATATCAATAAAGATTGTGCGTTATGAAATTCTCAACTAACCAACTATTAGCAAAAGATATATTAGTTATGTGTATTTCTATTTTTTTTTTTACTTGAACTTATATAATGTTTCAGTTTACTATGAATTTCAGATCAGTATAATTTCAGCTTAGTTTGGATTTTATTTTCCCTCTGTACTAGATACACTGCTTTTGTCTTTAAACAAAGAAAAACTTTCTTGAATTCATTTTAACCTTAAATCATTTAAAACTACCACAATGTTAATAACATGGAATAGTGCTGGGCTAACCAGGATGATGATATCTGATTTGTTTGTCATTGAAGTTTTGTTATCTTAACATACAGTGTAGACGGGTTTGTTTATGAAGTCTGAATGTTGAGGGAACAAGTGTGTTAATCAAGAATGTCTAGTGTTTTCCTGTTTTCACAACGAAGAAATGGCTGTTGTCTCTTAAGGAGGACTTAATCCTTTAACTCCCAAGATCTGATTGTTAATTCTCTCCTCTAGCTGCTACACATTTCCTTGTAAATTAGTTGTGAGAACTTGGTGCTAGATCAAGAGAGCAGCTTCTATCTTATAAGTTAGAATAATTATAATTCTCATTATCTGTTTTGCTGAATAATATATGGATGTTACAGGAAGAGGTTTAAGGTTTAAGGTTTATGGATATTACAAAGAGAGGGTCTATGAATTGTATTTAATGTCAGCATTTTCTCAAAGGAAAATAATTTTCATGTGATGTACAGTTGAAATATGTTTGTGTGGAGGCGGTTGAGTTGTAGTTCTTCAGGTCTCCATTTAGCTTTTGTAAGACTTGAGGATAAGATACTCTCAATATATTATGTGAATTCCTGTACAATTTATGCAGTTTTTGAAAACTCCTTTTATTTCGGCTTAAACTCAATGGACTTGTATATTTATATGTCCCTTTATTGGGAAAAGAACTTGACCATACTTTGGTATGAGTTGTGCTTGGGAAAAGGTCTCTACTTTTCTACTGAAAAAGACCACATATGGGTAACCACAACCAGAAAATAAAACCTTTTATTCAAAGGAGTAGGGTTGCACTAGTGCAAGGTGACTGTCAGTGTCTAGACACATTGAGAACTGAAGTAGACCAGAAACTAGATGTACTATTTCAAAGATGAGTGTGAGGGTTTCATCAGGGTTTTTCACATGTTGTCTGCAAGTTTGTTGTATTAATATTTAAATTAACAAATGATGCCACTAGAATGCGATGCTTTATCAAACTCAAGGGTTTGATATTTTTATGAAACCCATGGATAGAAAGCAGCATGCTTGGAAAAAAAGATTTTGCAATCATATGTCCTGTTGAAGTTGCAGTGTCAATCGTTGAAGTGAGTTTCCATGATTTGAAAAAAAAAGGATGAAATTGTGAGAGATACCAGCATGTTTTCAAATTGATCATGTTTCATATTGACAAAGTTTCACTGATAAGTGATGACAGTTACAGCTGTATCTTCTTTTGTTTAACTCAATTTTTCCGAAATCTGCCTTCTTCATCCAAGCACTACTGTGCTTTTCTTGTGTTTGCCAACTAGAAAAGTTTTTTTCAATTGGAAAAGTTAGGTTCACACCTGGAAGTGTCCCTTGACAACAGATTTTAAAAAAGTAAACATTTTGGAAAACATTTTCCAAGTGTGACCCATGCAGTAGGTTAAAATATTAGCTTGAGTTATCAAAGATATTTTTGAAAGGAAGTTGAAAGAAGTGTATGCTAAGAGTTCTCCTCTCTTAAGGGATTATACCATTAATATGATCTCACCAGCTTTGCAAGGTAATTGTCAAGAAGATACTAAATTTCAAAACTATGTACACATACCGTATTTACCCGTGTATAATGCGCGCCCGTGTATAATACGCACCCTAATTTTTTACCTCTTTTTTCCGAAAAAAAAGATTTCATGACAAATACCAAGAATTAAAACTTCCATTTTTTCACTTAATGAACAAGAGCTGGGAATTCATCAATAATATGTTTACAACAATTTCTAACTAGTTGCTACTACAAATATCGCACGCACCGAGCACCTATTTACAAGCTTTTTTATTCAGTAACAGTCAAACGTTTTATAAATGTTGTAACTTGAAGTCCTTATTAATATACCTAAATTCACAACTTGAATTATTATCATAACAGCCGTTCATAAACATTATTTCTACTCACAGTACTGCTGGTAGCTTGAATATAATTACTGCATTGCAATTGCGTGATTTAAGTTAAATGTTCAGTGTCTTTAAACAACGAAACCTTCAAATTCCGACTCACAGTCCGATTCGAATAGGTTTTCGATGACTGAATCCTCAAGTTCATCAGTGATCTCAGTTGAATTGTAAACCAATTCATCTTGTGATCCATTCGAATTGTTTGTGCACCCATACTTCAGAGAGAGGCAGCGATCATTTCTGATGGAATGCCTTCCTACGCTTGTGAAATATACGAACAGATAAATTCCTCCGAAGCCTTTTTTTGTTGTCCAGTAAGTTCGTGAATTCCATCAGCCATCCACTCCTTTCGGACTCCATCTCTAAATGGTTTGTTCAAAGATACATCGAACGGCTGGAGAAGGGAAGTTCGTGTTTGAAGGAAGTGTTCACAGTATCTGTCACGTGAGCTTCAAATGAGTCGTAAATAAGCAAGCTCTTTCTCCTCCCCAGGCCACCAATCCGTGCACTTTTACTTTCTTTGTTGCGTTTTTAACGTATGCAAATTAGGACATGCTTGACAAACAATAGAATCCGTGTATAATACGCACCGCGATTTTGATGCTTGTTTTTATGGAAAAAAAAGTGCGCATTATACACGGGTAAATACGGTACTTGAAACAACTTCTGTAGAATGTTATTTCCTGTGATTAGAGTGTGATCAATGCTTTTCAGCTGAAACCAACATTTTCCTTAAAGGAACATTATTTTTTTACCATGTTATGGGTAAAATGTTTATATACAGATAATTAAGTGTAATTTTTTTCAGCTGTATGAAAGGTGCCTTCAGGTCATCTGGCTTGCCAGATTCAAATGTTTGTGCCTGTTGAAGGGGCTGCAGGGACTGGTGTCTGATCTTTATTTTTGAAATCTTTATTACTATTTATTTTTCAGAAAGAGTCATCGAAGAGTGGAAACCTGAAAGCAACTTTTGTGGCAGAGGAAAAAATAAAGAAACTCAAGAAGAGGAATTCTGAGCTTGTGTCCATTGCACGACAGTTGGAGGAAAAGGCAAAGAAACTTCAGGAAGAGAAAGTTCAGGCTCAAGTATGTACAGGCTGAAGTTCAAAATTCTCTTTCATTTTTTTTGTTACTTGCTACTTGATTGTGTTGTAAGGATAAGTGGGGTAAGTTAAATTAGTTAATAAAACCAACTTATTTTGAGTTATAGGGAGTTCTCTCACATTTGTGAGTAGTACATTATGGATGTGCTCTAGATGATGTTACAGGATTGACTATAAGGTTCAATCAAAGAGTATAATTTGGTAAATTGAGCCAAAGCAACCCCAGATTACTCTTGACTTTAAACTGAATGCTGCTTTATCCCATGTTTCTCAGAAATTGGTGGAGGAGAACAGTTCTAACAGTGCTGGTGTGGAGCATGTGAAAAAGATGTATGCAAGACAGAGAGCCAAGGATCTTGCTGAACATGCTAAAGCATTGTTGTCTAAGGAAAAAGAACTGGATGAACTGAGAAAAGAGATATCAACACAAAAGAATGGTCCAGATTTCCCGGTATGTGTCATGATTTTAATAGTTATAGGTGAAAGTTGAGAAAAGTGTGCACGAGTTTCATTCTGGTTTTCTTTGTGGTTATATTGAATTCATCATCATGGTCTGAAATGGAATATAGACCAAACTGATTTGAAAGATTAAAAGAGAAAAAAAGAGAAACAAGATGCACATTTTGAGGAAAGTTTAAGACCTTTTCGGCTCGATATACTAAGATGGAGACATACCTTTCTCCTAGAACTGATCTGTCCTCAAGCACGTTTATGTCATGGGCAACAATGTCAAAAAAAAGTATTGATGGAACCAAAATTGAAATGTTGTCTATCATGTGGTGTATAAAATCTGCATCCTGTTCCTTTCTCTTAGAACCTTTTCATCAGTCCTAAATACAGGACAAGTCTAAACTTAATTGGGTTTCAAAATTGAGTGTTTTTAGGTGATTACGATGCATAGGTAGTTGGGGAAAGAGCTGTCAAATTTTGTGCAACTGACATTTTTACATGCATCTTGTCTTCATATTGGACATGTCCATGTATTAAAAGTTGAGCTAGCTAATTGAATGAGATATAGGTAAAGTTGCTGCATTGTGGTAGACTTTTATTTCCAGGCTTCCATCTTTGCCTTATGACCATGCTTTGTTTAATCCATCATTTGGATGTCAAGCATGTAACTACTGTATAGTAAAGAAGATGATCAACCACTAGGACAACATTAATTATTTGCTGAACATTGGTCACAAAATCTTCTCTGACTGAAAACATTGACATGCCATGTTTATTAAACATGATATTTCATTTCCAGTCAAAGTTCATTCCAGAACCCTATGACACTCTTGAATATCATCAAGATATTAATATGCTTCTCTACTCTGGATATTTAATCATGGTGTAAATATAATCACGTAGAGGAAGTCTTTATGTATTCTGCTCTTATATCTGAGATTATACTGTTTCTTGATTTTCAAGAGTCCTTTTCTTTAGTTACAGCATGTTTTGGAAGAACACTGATTTACATTTTAAGTGAGAGGGGGTCTATATTGCTCAAAGTGCTTTTTTTATCGATATTCAAAGAATGCAATCTTGTGGTTTGAGTCACAATTATTGAAGGCATGCTAAATTTGATCATTTGAATTGGAAAGCAGCCATGTTAAAGCATCGCCTGAAGGCAAGGAAAGGCAATCTTGTTTTGTCCAAGCCCAGGAAAGAGGTACTGCACTGTTGGAGGAAAGGAAACAGGGTTTTCCTATTTTGTGATGGAAAATATGTAGAGCTTCCAGAAGCTTTCAACAATTTTAAATATTTTCATAACAAGTTATTGAAGTGATTCTGTGGGATGTGTACTCTTAAAACAAATTCCGCATTAATGCAGCAAAAAGAAGTTGAAGTTTCTATAGAGTTGTGCTCTACTATGGTATGAATTTTGGTGAATTTCTTTATTGAAGCCTTGTGTTGTTGTATGACATCTGTTGGTATTGTTTCTAATGATAAAGAATTATCGATGGTTACATGTTTTTGTGTGTGAGATCTACCAAAAATGTCTCATGACCATGATGTATTTGTTATGTGCACAGAAATAAGAAAAATTTTGAGTCAACCTTGAGGATTCAAAATTCAGCCAGTTATGATTTCAGTTTTAATTCCTTTGGCTGCTAATATGAAAAGATTGTAGTACTGTTAGGAAAGTTAGGTTGTGAGTGTTTATTGTTAAACAAAAAGACTATGTATCTTTATTTAATATTGATGCAATAAGGATAATTAAAGGCTAAAAGTTACTTAAGGTTTACTTTTCCAAAATTCATTACATGTGCTGTCTTATCATAGAGGCATCACTAGTTTCACAACAACATTTTTGTTAAAGTTATGCATCCCAATTTACTAGCAAGATATCTAGAAATATTTATGTCCTCGCATCAGAAATAATTCATGGTGTTACCCATTTAGGAAATTGTTATTTTCTGTGGAAGAGAAGTTCCAAGCATTTTGTTTTACCTTAACTATAATTGAGCTTCAAGTGAATCTAGTTACATTTGGTTAAGATGTCTTAAGCTTTTGACAATTTGGCACAGTTCATATTCGGTGTTACTTTTTTGCCTCTGAAAGCAGAGAGTTACACCTCTGTCTCAAAATGCTACATGAAGAGATGATTGAAAATATCAGTAATTGACTTATTTCTTCTTATCCTGGCCCCAGTTTTCCAAAGAGTGGTTAACACTATTGAATGGATAAATCTCTACCCAGTTGATAGTGCAGCAGGTTTTGTTAACCCTTATCTGCTGAATACTGAGTTATCTGTTGGATAGCATTATGGGCCCCTTCAACAACTAGGCTCTGAACAATAGTAAGTCCAAACATCAGTAAACAGACACAGAGGAAAGAATATTCATAATTATGTTGTAAACTTTACTCCATGCAGTAACATACATGTAAGGATGTTCACGATCCTTGTATTAATGATAGTTCTTGTATTGATTCTATAATATTGGATGGTGGATAACCTATTTCAGGTGACATTTATCTTTTGTTGTGGTTAAAGATTTATCTTGTTATTTGCACTCCACTAGTAAACATTTTTAATCCTTCTAATCCCAGTAAGTCTGTTTGTCTTAAACAGCTGTTTTAAATTTTGTGTCAATCATGCATTCAATGGCAATACTGTTAAACTATTGGTAAACTCTCAATATTTTGGTCTTGGTTTGTCTTTTGGTATCATTGGCAGGCAATGAATTAAGCTTTCATTTGTTCAATGAGAACCATTTGGAAGGATAGTGAGTGGGAATAATCAGCACTTGCAGTGCATCTTAGTGAGCTTTCCTCATTTGGTTATGGGTATTCTTGCTCACCCTCTTACTCTGAGCTGGTTTTCACCTTTGATGAAGGGCATTTTTCTATCCTGGAAAAAAAAACTTTTCTAGACAAAACTTAGTGTAATTGTGACTGTTATCACTGTTCATTTTTTTTACAGCAAGAAAAAGTTGAAGAGCTTCAATCCATAATTCGTCAGTCAGCCAAGGAGAGGTTGTGGCTTGAGAGACAAATTTCCAATGGGGATTCTTCTCGTGAACCTAGTCCTCTGCTAATGTCAGGTGATCTTGCTTCCGAAATCAAGAAGAAGACTGAAATACTCAACAGGTTGGAAGATGAGAACAATAATTTAAAAACTTCAGTGGTTCAACTGCAAAAGGCTGAGGCTGAAAGCTTGAAATTGGTAGGTTAAGGAATTAATGTTTTAGATCACTTGTGTTGGATTTATATCCTCATTGTTTTGTTTATTGATGTGAAATATTTTCCATGTGTATGTGTGGTACTGTTCAGTGCAGCTTGCCTATCTAATTAACTCCATTTGAAAAATTCCCCTTTTTGGAAGTTTATGCTCTAAATTTAATTTCTTTACATATACTGAAAATGAATATGGGAAGTTAATATGTTAGCAAAGTGAATTATTACTCATAATGCCTGTTTCTTTTCTAAAGGTATCTTGTAGAGTGTCTGATCTTTCGTAGTTTAGTGTTTGCAAATAATTTTACTTGCATGAATCAAAATTGTGGCACACTGTAGATTTTAGGTCAGAACAGAGATAGTTTTCTTCTTTTACACCTGTCTGTTAGTAAATGAAATTACAACTTGCCTAAGCTTAACTGAAGAATTATTTTTCTGTCCAAAAAATTAGTGAAATTGTAATATTTATTGTGTGTCAAATGTTGACACAAAATCACCAATGTAAGTGAAGTGATTTTGTTGATGAAAATTGCGGCATATTTGATGTTACTTATAGATAATGATATCTGGATCTGTACAAATTTGTAATAGCCGTGTGTATCTCCCTTTCCCTCTGATTTGGTGGAAAATGGAAAATGGAAATAAATGAAAAGATTGGAGTTGATATTGTGTAGTACACTTGTTTATGTGGGAGGTATGCTAATACTGGCTTTCCATCCAAAGCGCCTCTCAAGAGGGTTATGTCATGTAATAATGTATTAGGTGAATGAATAAATTTGATTTTCAGTGACAAGTTTTGAAAAGGGAGACCATGTCTTAGAGATACGGTATTAACTGTTGCTTATACACGGCAGTAATTTTATAACCTGAAGTAGTCTGCAGGTCATAATGACTTGATCTACATGTACCATCACTAGGAGATCTTGAATGGGTTTTGTGGTATTTTTTCTTGTGGTGAATAAATTTGCTAAAGCCTTATGTTTCTTTCATTGATTAATCTCATTTGAATTGCTATAGTGGCCAAACTGTGCATTTTGTTCACTGCTGATTAAGAGAGTTACTAAACTGAAATACTTCAGCAGGTGTTTATTGTTAGCTACTAGGGGATGCAGACTTTTGCTATTACATTTTTGTTTCATTATTTACTAGTTTGCTGGTGGGTTTTGGCTTATTAATTATTTATTTATCAGGGGAGCTCATCCTGTATGTGAATGTTGAATATACACTAGAAGGTTTACTTTGGTGCTGGGATGTTTGGAATTGATAAGAATGCTATTTCTGCAGGCAGAGGAGCTGAAGGAGAAAGAGAAGGAAAACCATAAGCTTGTGAGTGACTTAGAGGAAAAACAGACAAAATGTTCCAAACTGGTAAATTACTTCTTTTCTTCTCAAGCATTGGATTTTGAATTTTTGCGTGGCTCTTTTAATTGGCCATTCATGGCATAATATGTAGGTTGCAATAGCTGTTATGGCATTCTGCACCAGTGAGACACCTAGTTAGTGTTGCCAGCAATTAATATAATGTAGTATTCATATTATCAGAGTTGAGGTGTATGTTGGAAATTCTAGGCTGCAATGTTCAAATTGCCTCTGTAACATGGATGTATGTTTTCCTATTGGAGAACCACAGCACTGTAATATTTTGAACCACTACTTTTGAATCACATATTTCTCACTGTACTGCTAGCCAATTTGTAAAGAATGTGAGAACAGCAGCACTCCAAGTCTGTTATAACTTTGCTCTCCCTGCTGAAAGGCTAACTAGTTAGAGCTTTAATTATTTTAAGTTGCCATTAATTAAGGCAAGACAAAACTCCATAATGGCAGGTCTGTGTAAACATTATGTCTTCTATAAAGTACAAATTACATTTGATCCTATTTTGCATTGCTGGTGAAGTTCTTTTTTTTTTTTTTTTGAAGAAAATCTTAACATTAGCTTTCTTTGGAATCAGTTGCACTTTTAAGGGAGTTATGACGAGAGGAAAGCAGTTGATAAGTTATTGTTTACCTGTAGATGTAAATTTTGTGTAGGATTCATTAAATAATTTTTTCATGATAATATCGTGAAAAAAAAAAATTAAATGAATCCTACATTGATTGTGGACTGAGAACTTGGTGAAGCTTCCCACCCCTGAAAAAAGTAGTTATATCTAGTACTTGAAATGTAGGTGCAGAAATTTAAGATGAAGGCATGGTAATGATGGTGATATATTAACATACGGCCACTAAGAATTTAACTTATGATTTTGTCTCAAGTTTTTATTTGATATTTTCATGTATGTGGGTGTTTGCTTTTAGCTTTCATTATCAATGTTAACGGATACTTATAGCAATGAAGCAATGATGGTATCTTTTGTGTCGGAAGGCTTTCTTGCATTTTTCAGAGAAAAATGTTATTAATCAAAGTGCTGTATGTTAAAAGAATTCATTAAGACTGAAAAAAAAAATGAGGCTTAAAACTCTGTGGTTATCTCTTTTGAAATAAGACTATTTTCAATAATTTAATAATTTTGGTTGTTAAACCAGGTTGGATTGTTCATGCAAAGTATGGTTTTTTTTTGTTTTTTTTGTTTTTTTTGTTTTTTGTGATTAACTCAAAGAGCATACGTAATGACGCACACAAATTTTCTGCAAACACTGCTGACACTGCTTTGTTCAATTTTCTTGATTGTTGACATCAACACTTACTGCTTTTATCAACATTTTCTGATGCAACCTCTTTATGACCCATACCAGCCAGTAGGCTTTCTTTTTTCTTTTCCCTGCCCAGTACCCTTTGCATCCCAAGGGTGCTGATTTAAAATCTGCCCAGTCAGATCTCAAAGGAAATATCACGTCATCACCAGATCAAATTAGCCAATCAGCATTTTGTGTCCACTTTTTGGATGCTGAAATTCAGAGTTCTGAGATATGATTGCAATCTCTCTTTCACACCTTACCTACACCCCAGGGACCTCTGGAGAGCTAGCTCACAGGCTACCCAAGACTTGGACATAGGACCTCAAGTCCAAATTGAATCCAGTATTCCAACCACTTAGCCCCACTCTCACTCCACTTGAGACCATTAATCTCTCTTTTCAGTTTACACAGTTGTAAAGTGTCTGGTTTTTTAATTAATATGTTTTAAATACCTTGGAAATTTACCTTGGAAAATGTTATTTTATAAATAGGAACATGAAAGAGAACGATTTGCTGCCAAATGCACCATGCTTCAGAAGAAGAATGCAGAAATGACCAAAAAGATGGAAGAATTAGAAGAGGTAGATCTTTGATTTTTAACTTGTAGGAACATTTTTTTATATATTACTTGATTTGTTTGAAGATTTTGTGCTCTGTGATTTACATAAACCATGGTTTACTTTTAAATGTACTTACATAGACCTGTCTCAACAGGCACAATAAAGAGCCTTGCTAGTAATTAATTTATAATCTAAGGTACATGTATCTTCTGAATACAGGTTTGTTTTAGATAGACTGCAGGTATTGCTTAAGGTTTTGGAATGCTTGGCAAAATTACATTATTGCTCTCACTAGCTGTTTGCACAGTATATATTTTGGAGAAAGCAGGTGTTTAAAATGTAGATTTTCTAGAGTTGATGTTCACTTAAATGAGGGTGTTTGCAAAATATTGGGCACTGGTAGTGCAAGTTTAATTCACAATTATTCTGTGAGCAGGTGTTGGATATGAGAGGGTAAATAGCCAGTGAGTCACATAGCATTGAGTTGGCTAGAACCTATCATGTATCCAACAAACCTTTATGGAATAATTTTTCAGCCTGCAGCAGTTGGTGCAATGCATCTCCATGCAAGGTGACTTAGAATATGAGCTGATAACCTGAGTTGAGTGAACCAATCAAAACACTAGAAATGCAATATTCAGAATTGAAAATTTAATAATGTATCATATGCAATAGCTCAGAGATAAAAAAAAATGTTGTGACTTTTTTGTTACAGATGGAAGAGGAACTCAGTAATGTAAAGGAAAAACTTGAGGTTTCAGATGTGAAGTGTGGTCTGCTTACAGATGAGTGCAACAGATTAAAACACCAGCTGGAAGGGCTTCTTCATGTTAAGGAGGTGAAGTTTGATGTAGCTTGCCCCCTTTTCTGTAGCAAGAAGTGACTAGGAGTCCTGCCATTTCCACACCCCATCCCCTCTTCTGGGGATGCAACATCCTCCCATTACAAGTTACTCTAAACATTTTGTTAGGTTCCCTGATAGTAGACTGATTTCCAATTACACACATGCATGGGGAGACTAAGGAAGAGTGATTCATAGTAAACTGCCTTCTTCAAAGCAACAACCCAGTGATTTCTGGTAGGCCTCTAAGCCAGAATTTTTCACACATTAGGCCATTAGTTCTCCTGCCCATCTTAGGAAAGAAGCACATTGAAATTCCCTGGCTGCTCTTTGTCAAATGAGCTAAGGTGATTAGGGTGATTATTTGTTATAGCTTGAAAGTAATATAATTTGATTTTTTCTGTGAACAGGATCTTAAGACTATGGAACAACAAAAGATGACGATAGAGAAGGAACATCTTAGCAGTCTTGAAAAACTTAAGCAGAGAGAAGAAGAAATTAGACAACTTCACAAGGTTAGGATGAGTATGGCCTCAATAGTTTTAGAACCATTGTTTCAGACTCTGTTTCTTATGACAAACTTCCTTGAAATTGAAATTAACATTTAACTTTCATAAACCAGAAGAGATTCCTTTCTCATCAGATGTCAACAACTACCAGCACCATATAAAAAACTTATTGGAAACATTAACGAAACAGTCAAAACAAAATAGAACAACAAACTAACTTTACTGATTGATCAAAAACTGAGCTGTGATGACCAACACTAGATAGTTGAGTCATGAAAATAGTGACATTATAAACTGACCAACCAGTTCCCACAAGCCAGATGTTTTTGTTTTTACATTTAAGTGATGAACAACTCCTTGTTTGACTCTAAAGCTGACTGCTGTCCTGGGTGTCAAAACATCAGTCACTTCTTCAGAAAACTGTCCTTTTCTGGACCATGTACTTTCACCCAGATGAACAGATGAACATGATCAGCAGTAGTGCTGCTCTTAGCACAGTGTTCCTCAAATCTGTACCAAATATTTCTCCTATGCGCTTTGAAATGTACATGTACCAGTAACCATTTAAAATAAAAGATTATGGTCTGTTCTTATGATCACTAATTATGAAATAAATTTACATGCCCAAGGCAAAGTTGGAATACGGCATGTTCTTTTGTAGCTGAGAAATTGTAGAATGATGGGAATCCCTTGGACTAAAGTCATTGCTTGCTTTGCTTCCAATATTTATACAGATCCAGGAGGAAGCCAACCGAGCTCACGAGATGGCTGTGACATCACTAGAAGATACTGTGCGTAGTTTGGAACAGAAGTGCATTGAGGCTGAAAAGAATAACATTAACCTCAAAAAAGAGATGGATGAACTGAAACAGATGGAAAGGGACAGTAACAGAAGAAAAGAAGAAGTTTGTCACAGATCAACTCAGACTACACTTGAAACATTCAACAAAGAAATTCCAGCTGTAGTAGAAGTTAAAGGTAAAGCTTCAACAGAATGTTATTGGTAATTTCTAAATCAAATTCAGGCTAGCTAGTGTAACCACTTAAACCATTCTCTGTAAGGAAGTATTCCTGAGCTGGAGTTCATTTATTACATAAGGACCACTTGCAGTTTTTTGAGGGAAACCTTAAAAGTGATGGTTACATTTAACCCTTTAATTCCCATGAGCCACAGGGACAGAATTTCTCCTTACAATATCAATACAATATCAACGAGAGGTATAATCACATGTAGTTGATTCAATACTATATATTCTCTGAACCAACATTATAAGAATTGTATGGTTGACAGTAAGGAGAATTACACATTTTGATCTGTGGGTTAAAGGGTTAAACTTGTTGTGTGTTTACAAATCTTATCAAGTGCCACTATTAAAGTAGATGTATTTTTAGAACTCTAACGACCCTGATCCAGACAACCTACCAAAGAATCTGGTGCACACCAAGGCATCAAGAGTCTTTTTCTTAGGGCTACACTTAAGCTCAAACCGTGCCTTCAATTCTTGGTAACATTTGACTTCTGAATGCATTTACTTAAATTTTTTTATAATACAAAACAATAAGGCATGAAATCTTGGAGGTAAGTCATCTTCCTTCCACTGCCTTGAATCATTAACCAGTAACTTTGTGCTACATTACAGTGAAAATAACAGAAAACCTTGTCTTAAATTGTACAAATGCAATATTGGACAGATCCAGGGAAGGTAAAATTACTGGAGGTTGGTCTTTGAGAGTGCTGTGTACTTCCCGTGACACGTTTCACTTCTATCAAACCATAGGCATTGCAGTCAAAGGTCAGCCTTCACTTAAAGAAAGTCCACAACCACCTCGCAAACTTTCTAGTGATGCTGCAGATGTACTGTCATCTCAGATCATGCCAACCAAGTCTGCTACCTTCGAAGAAAAGGTTGAGTCTTTCCTTGTCAACTCCAGCAAGCCCCAACCTGTTGCAGGAGAAGACACCAATACTCCAGCATCAGAGGATATATTAGAGTCACTGGCTTCAAGAATTAATCAATTAGCAGCATCTGATAGTGAAGATGATCCACTCAGTGGTATGGCATTTTGATTTAAGTATGATTTGCATTGTGTTTTCAAAATGGGTGTTATCAGCTTTGTTTCTCACTTCCTGCTAATGGAGAGAAAAACAAACGGCGTTTTGGTAGGTTTTAATTTAGCCATGGTAACATTTTTAGGAAAGGCCATCAACCTCAAATAAAGAGTAGATGGCAGTAGACTACTGATCGTAGTACAGGCCTGCATTTCATGCAGTGCATTTAACCAATGTTTAGTTTCAGGATGTGATATTGTTCCTTTTAAATACAGGTTAAATAAGGAGTCACTGTATTTTTTTCTTATATTTTCTATTTGCTAGAAAAAGCATATGCAGATCCAGGGGATGATGTAGAAACAGATCAGAAACCTGAAAGATCTGATGTGGATTTTGATGACTTGCGCTGGCGCATTGATCAAGCAGAAGCAGATGAAGATACCAGCAGCTCTATCAGCACAAGGGAAAGAGCCGGCAGTGAGGCTAGTCAAGACATGGCCAGCATGGCTGAAGGAGACCTAGGTGACTTGGAGGATAATCAGCCAGACAGCTCTGCTCCTGAAGATGAACAAGCTGAGCCCTCTACACTGCAGCCTATTGGTGAGAGTACACTGATTTTCTTTATTGAGACGAGACGAATTTCAGTCTCGTGTCATTCCTCTTCAGTTTAATCATCCTGGGATAGGATGTCATGCTGGATCACACTATCCTCTATACTTGTTGGTTTCTCTTTAACCCCTCACTGCCTAACGTCAGTATGCACATTCTCCATACTACTCCCTCCACATTTCCAAGGGTTCTGACAAGGAGAGTTTGGTCAACAATCAAGAGCTTCTTTAGTTGGCAATGATCTCCTTTATTCTCACGACCTTAATGTTTGATTCAAGGGTGATATTGTAAGGAGAAATTAGATGCTAGTCACTCTTAGGGGTTAAAGGGTTAAGTGAGCAAAGACCTGTCTGCTTTTTAAGACAATTACTACTTGCCTGAAAGGCCATGTCAGGCTTGATTTTTTAGCTTTAGGCCAAAACAACAACAAGACACGGGGAGACGGGGGCTTTGGGGAACATGGATGACACACTGGTGGGAGCACGTACCACCGCTGTGGCTTGGGTTCGATTCCCAGACGTGGCGCGTGTCCCATGTGGGTTGAGTTTGTTCTTGGTTGCCGCCCTCGCTCCCAGTAGTTTTTCTCGGGCTCCTCCGGTTTTCCTTCCCCCGCAAAAACCAACATTTAACGTGGAAACAGTAGACAGGAAGAGGCACCTCACGTATTGTCCACTACTAAATTCCATTATCATCATGATCATTATTATAACTGTTACTTGTATTAGTACTAGTACTACTACTATTATTGTTACTATTGTTATTATTACTACTATTGTTATGCACTGATGACAATCAATTTGATTTGTATCAGGTAAACTGAATGTGCATAATGCTATGCCAGCCAGCAGTAAAGACACCTCAACAGGTGCCAATAATGGGTTCATTGCAGAAGAGGAGGCACTGGACGTTAGATATCTTGAAGGCGATAACAGTGATGTGGATCCAGCCATTCAAGAGAAACTTGCTGTCTATATTGCAAGGTACAGTTATGACCCTTATCAACACTCACCAAATGAGAATCCTGATATGGAGCTGGCATTCCAGGCTGGAGATTATTTGTATGTCTTTGGCGAGATGGATGAGGTAAGGAAATACAAATTACTTGATTTATCTGCATGCAGCTCTGAAGGTTGAAAGGTGCCCAGCCATGTAGCGAAAAAAAAGAGAAGATAAAATTGGCATAGAAACCTATGGATCAATCTCGCTGGAGTTTATCCAGGTGTGTGTATTATAGCTCTTCAACCTTGGATGGAATGCGAGGTAACTTAGCCTGCAAGCAGCCCTCATTACCACCCCTGCACGACGCGCATTTCTCCACCCGCCGAAAGATTGAAGACGAGTCGGTGAGAGGTTACCGGGGTCTGTCTTTATCAGTGCCAGACCCCTTGTAGACCTCGTCGCGGTTTTCTTAAACTCCCAGATAGGAATACGTAAAGTAAAAACTTTTCCAATTACTGATTTTTCTTGAATAATAGGATGGATACTTTTTGGGTGAACTGATGAATGGCCAGAGAGGATTTGTACCTTCTAACTTTGTGGAGAAAGTCGCTGGTAAGAGCAGCTCAAGAGTATCAGTCAATCAAACTGTCAATAAATTATGATGTATAACACCGTCAATAACCAGACTCTGAATTGCTTGAGTTCTCGCTTTTGTCTGCGCAATGGTAACTGCTCATAAAATGCTGAATGCAAGCTATCTATCCCACAACCTCGCACCAATTATTGTAAACGAAGTTTTAGCCATAGATGGGCTGTGTTATGAACTAGCCTGCTTTAAGCGATAAAACAATCGAACTCTCTTAACGATTTCAAAACGAAATTGAAAAACCACACTTTTCAAAGCGAGATCATGTAGCACTATCCGGTATTTACACGACATCGTTGTAAAGCAGGTTTATCGATTTTATTGCTAGTAGCCATTTCTTAGCTAGTGTAGTTAGCGTTTTTTATCCTTTGAGAAATTGTACCTGAATGGAAACACCGTCTTTAAATAAAGTTTTTATTTACCTACTAAATTTATTAATTGATAAAATTATGTAGCCCCTCTAGCATTATTTGATTTAAACATACGTTATAATGTTCACTCTGCACTTAAATCATCTTGTCTGATTAACCAGTTTGGATAGAGGTTAAAATATTGTTTGGCTATTGTTTTCCAGATGAAAGTGAAATGACTTTGATGATGAATGGCACTGGAGAAGGAATTGGTAAGTGGTGTCAGTTCGTATATTTGATTTGGCTTGCCAGCAAGCTGACTGTGTTTTTCTCTCTCTCTCTCTGTCTTCTATGGTCTGTTTTCTTCGACCAAATTTATGTCTGTATTGTAAATAACTGTCCGTTCTCTTTGACACTCAAAATTTATCAAGCTTGCAGTTGCAGTCCATAATCTACATATGATGATTTTTTAAGGTATCTTTCAGATGGGGAAAACCCGATGTTCCAATAAAACGTTGTGACAATTCGTTTATCATTGAACTCTCCTTGATGTATGTTATGTCGGACTTAGTCGTTGAAAGCACGTTTAGTTTGCGTTAGCAGTTAACCCAGGATTAGTGTGGACGTTGCTTTAAACAGCGTGACATTGACAAACACATTTGTTTGGTCTTTTCACTTTCAGATGAAATACCAGACAGCAGTGATGAAGAAGAAACAGATGGTAACTACTGTTTTATAATACAAAAACGAGAGAATGAAAAAGGAAGAAGAAGGAAATAAAACTGAAAATGATTTAAACTATTTTTGTTCGAAATTAATTTTCTAACGTGTTTATTGTCAATATCAGTCGTGCTTTTCGAAAGAACTATTTAAGAACCTAAATTATTTGCAACTGACGTTTAACCAAGGTAACGATATAAAGGAAACAAAAAAGGTAAAGTAATTCTAACCTTAACAAGGATGGTATGACAGCGTTCAATAACTTAATTTGCTTAATGTCACCGAGGTGTCGTATCTTTTAAATAGTTTTGTCCAATCACTCCTGGTTTGTTCATACAATGTTCTTCATACACTTGTATGCTCATACGTGCACTTCTAACGATCCCTATGTTGCTGATATTAGAAGAAGAAAGCTTCTCGGAAGATGGACAAACCGAACTTGCAATACCGGGAGAAAATGGCGAGCGGCAGATGAAACCAGTGCGCATGCTTAAGTTCTCGGGTAATCTTTAGCAGTCAATAGACTGCCTTATAAATCTGATGTTAATTTAATTTAATTTAAGGTAGCTTTTTATGATTCTGGGAGTAAACAGCACCTTTACACGTCAACTAAACAATAAACGTTTAAATCCAGACATTTCTTAGAGATAAAATTCCCAGAAAATGTATTTTGATAAGACAATCTGAAGGAAAATAACAGAATTGTGGATGGTATTTTTAAATTGTAACTTGATAACCGTTCCTTCCTGATGACACAAAGAGCAAATTAAAGAAGGTACCATTTATAGTCATCTGTATAACTTTTAAGCATTACTTTTTTTGTTATTTTTTTGCTGCATTCGCTTCTAAGCGAATAAATAACTCTAAGGGAAAACGTTCTTTCTTTGACATAAATTATAATATTTAATGTAAACACGCTTTAAACATATCAATTCTGGCGTTCTCGTATTACAATTTTAATGTTACTTCCAGGTATGAAATTAAATTTAAAGGAATATATTTATACATGAAAACCTTACGCTTTGTATGTGATTACTGTGTGACATTTTTTGTTTGTCACGTCAGGTAAACTTCATCGTGCGTTACGCTTGTCAGTGGAACATATCCCCGACGTTGGACTTCAGGACATTGAGGAAGAAGACGAAGCGGAGATAGAGGAGGAAATAGAAGAGGAGCATGATTCAGGGAATGAATTTGATGAACAGGATGGTTCGAAAGAAACTGGATTTAGCCAGGATGGCATCACGAGTGATGAAATTGATATAATGCCTCGTAGTAAGTCATGCGATTGTTAGGCCGTGTTGTGGGCTATTCTTCCCGCCGCATAATTATTTAATGGGAAGGAGAGAAAACCGAGCAATTTCAATGGATTAAAACGCCAAAATGAGGACAATGCCTAGTTTGAAACAAGTTTTTTACAAGTACTTCAAGATAATTTGGTTTTATGAACTGAGTTGATAATGTAATTTAGCCACCGAAAAGCGTTTTCCCGTCTTTCACTCTGAGGGCCAACTCTCGAAACGTAAGCATTAGAATTATCTTGTAATTTCCCCCCCCCCCCCCCCAAATCGACGCGGTGCCGATCCAGTTTACGAAAACCATATTGAGCAAAAAAATATATATTTCAAAACAAAACACTTTAAAAAACAAACCTTTCGTGGTAATAGAGGAAGAATTTATTTTTTATGGAAGTATTGTCTTTTTCATCCAGCCGTTTCAACACATGATTTCAATAAAATAGTTGTCTGTCCTACGAAACAATTTTTTGTTATCTCAGGTCACCAAGTTCCCAAATCCCAATAATTCTCAGGATTTATTTTCTGTATACAAATTTTTATTCCATTTAATTCAAAGACTCCAAAAACCTTGAGCGTCAAAAAGGTTTACTTAAAATGGAGCGTGCTCCTAAAAGTTGTTCACGAATCTAACTCAAAAATTTGAACCTGCAGACCAAACCTCGCACAAGGAAGATTCTTGAAAAAAAAGAAGTTCGTGAGACCAGTTGAGGAGCAACAAAATATCGAAGCAATGGAGTGTTTGGTAGAAGATTTGGCAGAAGGATTGTCCAAAGTCAAAAAAGCTAAGTCGACTGATGAAAGAGCAGCTTATAACTGTACGCGCTCTTTGGCTTTTGGATCTTCTGTCAAAAAAAACAAGCACCAAACACGGATTGCCAAGATGATGGGGTAAAAAAGAAGCCAGGTGTCCAAAGCTATCAAACATAGAGAAAGAGTTTTGAAGGGTGCTAGCTAGAGAGAGAGAGATAGACAATCTTGCTTGTGTAGGAAGCATGTAGAATGCAAAATTGTATTTGATTCTTGCATGAAATATCGAAAATCCATACGACTTATGATTCTGTGGAGAACTCAAGAAATTAAATAGGCGTAGAAATGTATTATTCCAGCTTTTACCCAACCAGCATGAGGAAATTATGTCTTCTTTTTAGTTATGTAAATAAAACTGTGTTATTTCTAAACAGAATCGTGAATTTAAGCCTGCAAATGTGTAAATAGAATATATGACCACGCCTGCTATGCATTCTGGGTATTAAGTAATGAGGATAATTTAACAGATAACATCAAATATTTTCTCAAAAAGTAGTTCTTACAATAAAAGTTTATGAATAATCTATGTTTTGATGATTTTTTGGTAATTTTATGAAGTTGCTAGTTTTTCCCTAATGTTACGCATTTGTACCCCTGGATCTTGCAACTGATCAGTATGTTTTGTCATTCAGCCGTTTAAACACTGATTTCTGTCTGTCGTACTTTGTTATCCCAGGAGTTCCCTCCCCTAGGAGGCTCCACCTTGAGCGTCAGTTTACCCGGAGCGTGCTCCTAAGTTGGAAACCCGCTGATTTGCCTGCAGACCAAGTGAAAGGTTATGGTGTGTATGCGAATGGAGAGCTACGACTTATGATCAAAGGAAGCAGCAAAACAAAGGCGCTTCTGGAAGATATTGACCCCCAGGAGGTAAGATTCAACCATTTTTTATCGTGCATGAACGTAAATGATAGTCCAGTAAATTATGGTAGACAGCAATTGAGCAGTATTTGATTTCAGGAAGTTGCAACTTGTGTGTATACGTTTCGATCATTTTAAGTAGTAGAGGAGGAACGGGAAATGAGAGACGAAGAAAGCAATTTGTGTTTAAGCTCTCTTTTTTAATCGTTCTATAGTTTTGACATGAATTCCAATTCACGTAGCTAATCCCAATCCAAATTTCGGAAGTCATTCATGATTCTAACCGCATAAATGCATTTTCATGAAGATTTGTTGATACCAATGATACTAATCAGAAGAAGAATAGTTCCTTGATTGTTTAACGTGCAGTCCTCTTGCGAGGATCATTTGTTTATTTGAAGTTCATTGTTTCTTCTCTCAGTTTACTTGATAATGTATTGATTTCTTGAAGGGAAGTTATATGTTAGACGCTATTGAGAGTTACAGGCCAAAGTTGAAGTTTGGTTTTTTCTGTTTTTTTTTTTTTTTTTTCACCAGACATACCGCCTCTCTGTACGCACCATCACAACGCAGGGAGAAGAATCATCAGACCGCTCAGCTGTGGTGACAATTGGCAAAGGTTAGCAGTATGCAAAAGTGTAGCGTTCAGTCAGATGGTTTGCATGTCGTTATATCTGTAACTAGAGGAAAGAGATATTGTGTTTATGTTTAAATTAAAATTTTTAAGGTTTTAAGGTTTTTGGGAGATCGAAAAGTCAGATTTGATGGTAGGAGGGAATAATTTCAGTTGAGTTTATTCTTTATGTTTTTCTTATAAGGTTCATCAGATTTTTTCCCAACCGTTTGTTTTCTTCCCTCAGATGCAAACTTTGCTCCCAGTCACGTGCATGTCACCTGCATTTCTCCCACGTCAGCTAAGATCGAGTGGTCGCCTGGCAACAGCTCATTCAGCCACGAAATCCTTCTAAATGGGGACCTTCATAGAACAGTTCGCCCTGGGACCTTCCAGCACACAATCAGTAATCTCGAACCGGATCAGTGGTATAAGGTTCACATACGTGCAAAGGATCCTAAGCGAGTGTCAGTTGACGATCGTGAAGAGAATATCGAGGTTGATCTGTTGACAGCTGAAGCAGAATTTCGAACTGAACCAGGAGGTATATTAAGAAACCTTTTCAACATACGATATTTTTAAATAGCAGGGTGCTGGAGAGCTTTTTGTTTTAGTGCTGTCGGACCAGCAACGACTAGCTAGAACATAGGGGAATACCTCAAGAGGCAACGCTTTACTACTTTCACCTCTTTTTACCTCGACTAGTGGACTTTCCAAGGAGAACTTAGGTTTTTATTCGTATTGAATGAATTTGTGACATCGCCTTTTGTTAAGTTCCTGTTCCACATAAATGACACTGGGCTGAGAAACACCTGGATTTTCGTCACAAGGGTTGGGGGTGGGGGTGGGGGTGGGGGTTTAGTTGCTGATACAGGACACTGTTATCGTGGTAGTTGAGCAACCTGACATGGATCTTAATCTCAGTCCAGCCCCTGAAAGAAATACTGCCTTTGAGAATTACTTCGTTCGCATAAATAGTGTTGGTAAAATCGACGTTGCCCTAAAGGAGACTGAGAACAGCTTCACTATCTATTATTTCCTGCATCTTTTGTTTAATGAATCCCATGAATACTACTATGATTTTTAATTTTTTTCATAGATGATGAATAAATTAAGATCTCTGCAGCCAGTTTTTTTGCTTATGGGTCTATCCTTGCTGTGTACTTAGGTATTGTTATTTTTTTAAGGTCTGCCAGATCCACCTCTCGATGTGGAAGCAACTCCAGGTCAATCAAACACCCTTGATGTTAACTGGATTCCAGTGACAATCACAGACAAAGGTGCCTCAAACGGCGCTCGCGTGACAGGATACAAAGTTTACATCAACGGCTTTCCATGTACGGAAGTCACGTCACCCACAGCAGATTGCGTGACAGCCGTGTCGTGGATGGTCGAACGGGCGAGCAAGAAAAGTCACAGCGATGTTCTTCGTGTAATTGTTAGAACTCAATCGTGTGAGGGCGAGTCAGCTGATTCAAATGAAGTTGTTATGCCCTTAGGTATGTTTAATTTCAAGGCAAATCAGGTTATAACACCTAAAGAAACTGAGCAGGTGTTACAGAACAATGATATTTTGTTAGAAAGATCTTTCGGAACTCATGGAGGTCACGAAGGCTCAGATAACTTGGCGAATGGTGAGCTGGTCTCTGAGCCACTAAGGGAACGAGCCGATAGCGTAAGACGCTTTAGTATGGGCGAGAATGGCCAGCCACAAGTAGTTTTAGTTGAAGACATTGCCAAACACACCAAGGACGATTCTGGTCTTCTTGCGCAGCCTCGAACGAAGGGAGAACCGGTCGTGTGGAAATACGAGGCCGGGGATGAATCGGAAACTGCCGAAAGTATCACGAAAAGCGACGGAAGAAGTGGATCCGAAGACGAAGATGATGAAGAAGTTGAGATTTGTATACCAGACGATTCGGACGATAAAGAGCAAGCTGCTAAAACGGAGACTGTGGTGAATGTGGAAGAGCAAGGCTATCAACGGCTTGAAGAGGTACCTCTTTGCTTCTTTAATGTTTTTGTTGGTGACGGAAAGTTGGGTTTATATTTTACAAGCTTTTTTTTCTTTTTTTTTTTATTTACGTGGTTTATTCAACTCCTCATGTTAGAAAATGGGGTCCTGTTTCCTCAGACTAATTGGTGGTTAAGAGGGAAATCTCTTGGTGAATTCAAGAGTTCTTTTTTTTTATATTCTCGCCTGTCCATTTTTCTTTTCATCTTTTAAATCTACTCGTACGTAAGTAACGTGAACGTTGGACTGTGGAACGTCGTAGATAATTTGTAGAAGTAGTATGAAAAAAAACAGCGTAAGTAACCCTTCTGTAAACCTCCCATTTTGCTCGTTAACAGGGGTTATACCAGCATGCTCTGTTCGAACGAAAATGTGGTTATACTTTAGATTACAGCGGTTGTTTGACCAACAACTTCAAACGTTAAGTCGAAACCCTTCGCTTAGAGCACTGTCGATTTCAACCCTACAAATCCTGACTTCTAGTCATGTAATTCTTCCATTTAAGTATTACACATTTTCTTGTAAATTAGGTAACCCTTAAACTTTTGACCCCTAACAGTGACCAGCATGTAATTTCTCACTACAACGTCACTTGAATCATACATTAAGGTCATGAGAATAACTGAAATAATCAAATTCTCCTTGTCAGCACCTTAGGAAATGTATGGAGTACAGTATGGAGAATATGCATACTGATGTTGGGCTGTAAAGGGTTAAAATGCTCAAGATCTCATTGATCAGTAATTCCTCATACTGTCTGCATGCAATTCTTTTGCTGTTAGTTCTGAGAATTAAGTATTGGATCAGTTTGTAATCCCCTAATTGATATTTTTTTATTTACTTTCATCACTTATCTACTTGATGTTGTAAGGAGTAATTCCAAAGCTAATGAGCTTGGTTAATTTTGTCGCGTGTTACAGAATAACGGTCTGAAGTTGTGAGAAATCTTACATGTTATTTGCTCCAGGACTTTTTGACACCCGTGGCCAGTCAAATATTCACGCTTGTAAATGCAAACTTCCAAACTTGCTCATGTCCTGTGATTCTTGTATTTAGAGTAACGATGACATCGAAGCTGATACCGAAGTTCCCAAGGTCGAGCAACAGCTTGCTGAGGAAGAACAAGCGCTTTCTGGCGAAGAAACATCCGAAATGCAAAAGAATCCTTCAAGAATTAGTAAGGGGAGCGATATGTCTTCAGAGAGTGACCTAGACATGGAAGAATTAGGACAGTCATTGGAAGAAGCGCAGAGTGTTCAACGAACAAGTCCCGAAGGAAAGGAGAGCGAGGATAGAATGCCTTATATTCGTCCTCTAGAGTATGACGAGAGTGACTTTGAAAGTGAATCAAGCGAACAGGCCCCGCTTTCCATAATTCAAGAAGAAGACGAGGAAGACTTATCGGAAGAGGTACATTTTCCGCGCTCACACTCGGCCTCCGAGGGCTTCGAGAGCGATGATGATGTCATGGATTTACTCGACGATGAGCAAGTTTGGGATCAATCGTCGGGACGCGTCGACTTCGAAAGCGTTCGTAAAATATCGCAAACAGAAGGTTCTTCGGCGGTGAACACCAATAAAACGTCAGAGGGCCAAGGCTTTGGAAAATATTTAGCAAATAGTAGTGACCAGCTAAGAACAAACGCTGCCCATGGTTCACCGTACAGACTTGTGGATAATATCAAGCTTTCAGAAAGTGAAGGAGAGCTGGTGGACAACGATGGCATCGACATTACCTACAGTGACACTGAGGCAGACCGAGGGGAACTAGAAAGGAGTGCGACTCCGCTAGATGGACAGTACGGGGAAGGAATGATGCGGGAAGAACAACCGCTTCATCACGCGTATGACGAGGCTACGCCGGCGGCGGAGGGACAGGCGCCTTCTGATCAAGGGTACGCGGGCGGAGGTGCCCTGGAGGAGCAAGTGCGTGTGTTCTTAGCTCTTTATGATTATGACCCTGCTACTATGTCACCGAATCCCGATGCTGAAGATGAGGAGCTGACGTTCAATGAAGGAGACTTGATAAAGGTAAGAAAGGGGAGTGGTAAGATTGGGCAAGAGTTGTCATTCTCACAAAGAGTATGAGGTCAAGCACTCCTTTCTTTCCACAAAAAGGTTTTGTTTGGTCTTGTTTTCATCCGTGATCAACAAGAACATGATTTTTTAAACGTTGCGCAAGGTGTATTCGCCAAACAAAGAACATTCGTTTTTTTTTTCGGCTTGAAGCCGACTACTATGGTCGACAATGAAAGCCGTTACATTGCCTTCAAATGCAGTCCGCTTGAAAACAAGCTATTTAGGTCGACCATATTCGTTAAAATTTCTTGGATTCTCCAGAAAAGGATAACCGCACATAATTTGGTTGACGACTTAATCGCTCTCTTGCCAGATTTACGGCGACAAGGATGAAGATGGATTTTACTGGGGCGAACTAAACGGGAGAGCGGGGTACATTCCGTTCAATATGGTATCAGAAGTTCATCTCGACGATGAAGAATCCGGTAGTACTGTCACGACGCCTTCCATGAGCATTACTCAGGAATCTGCCGCCCAGCTCCAGCCCCTTGAGGAAGCTCCCCGGGCAGAGGAGACTGAAGCTGACCCTACCCCGTCCGACAACTTGCTTGAGGAGGTGATCCTAGAAGATGGCGAAGAATTTGAGGACCCGAGATCGAGTGACAATTATCAGCTGCCACCCAGGAGAATGGTAGCTCTGTTTGATTATGATCCACAGACTCTGTCGCCCAACCCTGATAGTGAGGTAAGATCAGCAGTTGATCAGGACACGTTTCTTTTATTATTTTACATGTTACTAGATTACTTCACTGGTGGCTGAAGGAAAATTAACCCTGCAATGATGCGCTACTTTGCTCTCACTGGTAGTCTTTTTAAATGATGGGGTAACTAGTGTTGAAATTAAAGAGTTGCATACTCAAACCTTAAATGGCCACTTCTGCTCCGCACTATTTAAAAGTCAAATCTTTCCTTATTTTGCAATGTCATTTTTTTTGACGACCACCTCTCTAGAATAATCAACCCCTCCTGGCTTAATTGTAGCTCTGATGAAAGAGATCTCAGTGTATTTGAGCAAGTATCTACGTCGGCTGATTGACGTATCGTGCAATGTTGTAATGTTTGTTTACGTTGTTGAAGTAGATTTAACCCTTTAACTCTCAGAAGTGATTAACATAAAACTTCTCCCTACAATATCCATACATTCTTCAGCAAACAGGTGATGAGAATATTCAAACTTATCAGGTAGAAGCTTCTATCTTGATCTAGCACCAAGTTCTCATAACTAATTTAAAAGGAAATGTGTGGCAGCTACAGAGGAGAATTGACAATCAGATCTTAATTACTCCCAGTGTCTCCGTTTCGTTATGGTGTGGGTGGTAAGTTTTTGGCCACTTGTATTTTCTTAAACTTTTCGTTCTTGTTCTTCAGGTTGAACTCAAGTTTAGAGTTGGTGATATAATTTATGTATACGGCGATATGGACGAGGATGGGTTCTTTACAGTGAGTGACTCAGTTATAAGTTGAATATTCTACTTACTGGGTCCGCAGTGGTTCCTTTTTATCTTGAGATACCATCCTTCCTTCCAAAGCGTTTTTAAGAAGGCTCTTGTCGTTAAATAGATTTCTCACAGAACTGCCATCTTGCTTTATTCCTAAATTGAGAGATGAAGAGGCGAGAAGTTTTTTAGAAGGCTTTCATATCAAGTATCGTGAAACCAAAGATAAAATCGTACAAATGGTTTACAAGAAAAGAGCTAAATATCGCATGAATGTAATGGAAACTTTTGTAGGTGCAAAGTGCCTGAAGCGTGGGAGAATAGCACTAACCAAGTCACGATTGGTGTTACTGTGGCACCTCATTTGCCGAGAGAGAGGCGCGTGTTTTCCAGACCAATCACAGACAAAGATAGGCGAAACTGATGCGATCCTGGACTATTTATAACAATGATCTTTAATTTGTTCTAATGGAAACATTGCTTATACAAAATTTGAATCTTAGCCTGTGCTCTTTTTTCAGGGTGAGCTCCGTGGAATTCGGGGTTTGGTACCTTCAAATTTTCTTGAAAGTTTGTCTGATCCCATGGAGGAATCTCAACTTGACACAAGTAACGAGAGCCATGTAAGTTAATAAAAAAGTTTTTCGACTATTTCAACACTATTCCCTCCTTTCTCTCATGTGCTTACTGAACTACTGTTTTTGTGCAATGTTTTGTGTCACTCTCGTTTACTCAGTTGTTATGACACTTTCGTTCTTGTTTTTCAAAGTGGATCTCTATGCATGTGTCCTATTGAAACTTAGAACTACTCTTTACCTGGAAGTCCGTCTGCCTGAATGTCACTATTCTTTTGCTCGCACTCTTGCTCTCCTTTCTCGGTGACGCAGTTTGTTTCCCGTTGATTAAGTCCAGCTGTTGAATGCTGCCTTGAAACGAAAGATCCCGTCGAGATTGACTTTTACATCGAATGCAGTTGAAGTTAACCCTTGGCTTCTCATTGATGACTCGTTGCCAAGCAATGCAACGTATTCTTATCGGGTGATAAAGAGCTGAAATGAATACTGATTCTTCCTGTCTTGGTTCGCCAAACCCAAGTAATCATTAATCATTTCCTTCAGTGTGTTTGATCAAATTATCAAATAACTCGTTCTTGTTCTTTCCATGTTTTGAAGCCTTTCTAACAATACTTATCAGTTTAGTGTTTTAACTATCATACCGCTAGGAATCTTCGCATTTCACTGTTATCTGAAGTGAAGAACGACCTTGGAACAGCGGCAGGGGAAAACTCAATTTATGTTAGTACAATAAACACCATTCACGATGTAGAGGAGTAGCTTTAACCATAACGAGAACGACAACAAGCTTCAATACGAAGTAAATCATTAAAGCTAGGCTGGTAACCATTAAAGTAGGGTGTCGTGTCGAATAATAATTTTTTTTAAAAAACAGACATTAGTAGCCTATCTTCTATAAATTGAAACGCGCTATTTTAGTTTGTATCGAGTTTTTTTTTCTTGTTTTTGTTCGCTTTCTTTTGTTAGTCATTTTGTTTTTTATTTATTTCGGTTTCTTTGTTGCGTTCACTCACTTTTGCTTTTCCAGTCTTTATTTTCTATTGCTTTCTTTTCGTCGTGATCTTTGTTATTGTTTTCCCTTTTCTGTTCTTTCACGTATGTTTTGTTTATTTTTTGTTTTTGTGTTAATGCGTACTATTGAACTGATTTTCCTCAATGCTTGTAGTTGTGGAAATTTATTCTAACGTATACTAAGAACAGGGTAAAAAAAAGACGTTGAATTCAGTTTGCTATCCTCAACGTAGGACCTTGCAACAGTCAAAACTGGATTTCATATCTTTCATTTATTACAGGGTTTGTTAATTGTGTCTGAAATTCCTCATCTTTCTGTTACTTGAAATGTGTTAATTCGATTGATAGCCATAACTTGCGGAAGGTAGAGATTTTTGAAAAAGATTACCCCAATTAGTTCACGCGATAGTGATGTATAGCCGGGAAAGCAAATCAATTCCAAACGTCTTTTGACCAGATCGGACCCTGTTTGAGCCCTGTTAATTGCGATCCTTACCCCTTACCCAAAAAAAAAAAATCAAAAAAAAAAATAGGTACTTTGTAATATAGAAAGCTGTGAGCCACAAAATAGCGGTTTTTTCAATGAGGCACACAGTTGGGTTGAAACAGAAATTTGAACTTCAATACCTGCACGTTAAAACACTCGTTAGCTCTATAGGAATGGGGTTTATCTACAAACTTGTTGCGATGTTGTTTTTGACGGCGAATCATTCATCAATGACTACATCTGCCATTGAACTGGTGTTCGAAAACAGTGTAGTCTGCTGAAATTACCGTCAAACTTGCTGAGTTATTTCTTCAATACAAACTTTCCTGCCCCCAACCCCCCCCTTTTTTTTTTCAAATGAATCACGGTTTTATTGACCTTTTTATTTTTAAAGGAGCAGTGACATGTTGTTTTGATTACTTGCTAAATTACCTTCAGCTTGAAGAAATCGCAAACTCTCTATTTGGTTAAAAAAAAAAAACATACAAAGAAATAATGAGGATGGTTGAGAAACAAATTGGAAACATTTAGGCTGATTATTCTTTGCTGTACAAAACACGGTATAGCTCCTTCAAGGCTTTTCACTGGAAAGTAATCGTCGTTGTGAGAATTTTGGTCAACGACTACATCAAAGCGTTGCGTGATGACTTACTTATGTAGAATAACTAAGCGAAAACTGTCCCGTTTGCATTTCAGGAGTCTCCCATGGATTCCCCAGAGAAGTATAACTCAATCAATGGTAGTCACAGCGTTCCAGATGACACGCCCAAAAAGAAAAAGGGAATCTTTTCCAAAGGAAAACAAATGTTTAAAAAGATCGCCAAAGGACACAATTCGCCTCGAGGGAACAGTTCTAAAAGATAGCGTTGCTGAGCTAACCAGCTGCTTTTAAAATATTGAAAATGTCTTGTAAATTGATTATTCGAAAGTTCAAGCGAGTGAAATTTAGTTTTATAGCTTTTAGAGAAGTCCATTTTTATAAACGGGTTGTATTTTATTCAGTGTAAAGGGGTTTACTATTGTATATGTGGGCTTGGCCCTTAATTTATAAAAACCCGAAGAGTTCTATTGGGTGCTTCCCTTGATATGGAAGTTATTTACCTACTTTTCAGACGGTCAAGGCTGTGGTGGATGCTTGCTATACATACTCGCGCGCATTTTGAAATTTTTTCACCGAACGTTGCTGATTCGTTCTTATTCATACACAAAATAACAGACGCATAAAGTTCTCCCTGTATTAATAACTTGTTTAAACTTTTAAACTTGAAATCTGAGTGTTTATTTGTAATATATCTGGTTGAACAATGACCGATTTGGAAATGTGACGCAAAGATAGCATTATATTGTATTGTATTGTATTTCCCAGAAGTGTTATGTTAACTATTATCATATAATTTATTTAGCAGAGTTGTATACCAGTGTAGTCACAGACATTCGCTATTAAATACTATTTTGCGGAGAACAGTCGTTGAGTATTAGTTCCATTAGGTGCTTGGAGGCCTGGGAACGTGCGCGACTTTGCAGAAAACGATTTTATATAAAACCCTGGGAAAAGCTCGTGAAATATGTAACAAATACATTCCATGTTGTCGTATGTTAATGTTAAAATGTGGTAAGAGCAAAAAAAGTGGCCCACAAGGCTCAGCCGAGTGTGTCGCTTTTGACGTATTTTGGGATTTTTTTTTTCATTCCAGACCCACATTAACAATAGAATCTACTTGTTTTATATGATAAAAAAGAGAAATGATGTTGATGACGTCAACTCTATGCGTCTGATCACATTTAATAACTAATGGAAACACTTGCATAATTTATCTTATCATATAAGTATTTAGGATAGATGAGTCTTGGCGAAACTGTGATCTTGAAACTTTTTCTTCCTGGTGAAGTGGTTTCCGGTAATTTTAGGCAGGATCTATTGACTATTCAAGTGATCGACATTTAAGTTAATACCGTCTCCACGAAAAGTTTTATTTCAGTTATTTTGTTAGCTTGGAGAGGGCTTATTATAAGTGGTTCATTAGGCACTTCAATTTTCTCCCCAATCTCTAAACGGTACTTCTCCTTTGAGCTGAGAACTGTCACCTGGAGAACTGGGGCTGATTGTTGGCGTGACGTAACAACAATCTGCGAAAGCGATGCGGAAATCACGAAGTCTATGCTGTTTCCATGGTAATCGATACCCACAAACTTTAATCCAGTGCTCCCGGGTGGAAGCTTGGGGTTGAATTGAAGTTGTCTTCCATCGCGCAGACGCAGTCCGCCATAACCAGACAGAATGGATTGAAGAAATCCGCCGGCTCCTGTGATGAAGTTCACAGCACCCCCACCGTCCGCACTCTCGGTCCAAACCATGAAGGGAATCTTTGCGTTTACGTAACTAGCATTGAAAGACTTCTCTGCTCGAGAATTTTCACCGATATCTAACCAGTTAATGGCGAACATAGATTTAGTCATGGCGGGCCCCCGCGGATTCGTCCTGGGCTCGTAGAAACTCAGATCATTTCGTCGTAACTGCGAGCTCATGTTTACCATTAGTGGATATCCGAGTAGGATAACGTCGGCTTGTTTAACCTCGATCCCTTGGTACCCATCGTACTCGGGGTGATAGTCGTTTGTGGAATCAAACGGTATGTACATGTTCTGTGCTATGGTTTTCCAATTTTCGGAGGCATTCGGAAGGACCTCGTGGGCGAATTCTAGATTTAGTTTCGCTATCATGTTAGTGTAGGCCGAGTTATTCACGACTTCAGCATCTTCGTCCGGTGGCATAACGTTGTAAATGACGTAACCTCTTTTGGAGTCGTTGTAGATCGCGCGACTCGCCCAGAATTCCGCAGTGGCTCGAATAAGGGGAAAGGCCTGGCTCCGGAGCCATTGTTGGTCTCCTGATGCCATCCACAGCTGCCTGACTGCGAATGCAATATCGCCTGTGATATGCTGCTCGTAATCGGAGTAAATCTCCCCGGGGCACACTTCTGAACCAGTCACAGCACTTTCCCATGGAAACATTGCTCCTTTACGGAAAAATTTTAAAAAAATCAGAATTAAACGCTAATAGGTACACGTGCCCACGAGTTATACTGAAACAAGAAGCTCGTCAAGGCTCAAATCATCAACTCCTTTTTTGATAACAAAAATGGATAAATTGAGCTGCTGTCCCAAAGATTCCACGTTTGATTGCGTGACAAATGCCACGAGATCTGCGCTTAAATAAAAGTTTTATTTCAATAATTTATGGAGCCGATTCACGTCTGCATCATAAAACGTAGACCTTTATGCTATATTCGCTCCCCATGCATCTGGGATCTGCAAAATCTTCAACTGCTTTCTTCGTAATTGGTGTACCTTACACGAAATCATTTCTCGATAACTACCTCGGAATCCATATTTCTTAGCCTTTTCTTCAGCTGCTTGGAGCCGCTCAAACCTGTAAGCGAGACACGTTCGCGCCAAATCTTGGTGTAGAAGGAGAAGCGGGGGAAACATCCACGTCTCCTGATCCCAGAACACGTGACCATTATATCCATCAGTCGCCAGGCCTCCGGGACTCAGACCGAAAATCCTCGAGGAGCGAAGGGAGCTGGAAGACGAAAACAAAAATTGATTGCTGATCAGAATTTTAAAACTCACTCCTCTCAAGAAATAACGTTGTAACGTTATTCAAGTTTTGGACCAAATATTACGTAACTCTTTATCAAGGCTCTTTATTTTATCCATTAATCAAACGGAAATTTTAGTTTCGCTTAACGAGAAAATGACCCTCCCCTTTCCAGTAAGTTCAATTATTGGCTTAAGGGATTAGTATAATGTTCTTAAGGTTTCTGAAAAAAAAACCAAACTAATTAGATCGATGTCGGTAGACTTAGAAAAACTGGAACGCAGACACGTCTAATATCACACGCAACCGTAAGTGTAGTCTGTCTTGTAATTTCATTTATTTTGTTTTGGAAATAGCTCCCTTGCTGCAATCGTTGTCGCAGATGTCATTTTTCCCTCCAGGCACCCTCGCCCTTCCCTCCCCCCCCCCCCCTTGCTTCCTTTTATGGCCTCAATAATTAAGCACGGAGGAGCTTCTTACCCTCCACACTTTAACATCAGTATGTAAATTCTCCATACTGTTCTCTTCACATTCCTAAGGTTCTTGGTAATCATTTACTCGTAACCTTGATGCTGGGTGACGATGTGAGGAGCAATTCGATGTTTGTCACCCTTAGGGGTAAGGGGATTAACAATCGGAGGAACTAAACACGAGAAAACGTGTTTTCGTGAGGAAAGCCTACATGTACGGGTTCAATAACTGGAGTGGCTTACGTACTTAATTATCGCTAACGTTAATTGGAAATCCTCAATTCTCGAGATTGCATTGGTAATTCTCTCTGCTAGCAGCTACACATTTCCTTGTAAAAGATTTAGGAGAAGTTTGTGTTTCATCAAGATGACGGCCTGAAAGGCTTGTCGGCTTGAATCACGTTTTTGCTATATATCGTATTAATATTGTTAGGATCGAGAAGTTATACGTCATTCACCTCTGGGAGTCGTAGAGTGAAAGGTTTATGTCCATTGGGTTTTGATTTGATCTTCCATTGAATGAACTCAAATTGAACAAATTCGTAAAAAGCCAAAAACTTTTATCAAGAGCTAAAACCGTGGTGGAAAACAGTTAAGTGAAATTTCTAAATGCAGTCTAACACTTAAACGAGCACTATTGAAAACAAATCGCTTTAATTAAATTAGTAAGGATTACATTTAAGCCTTTTAGCCTCGAAAACAATGGTAAACAAAAAAACAGGATGTAGTGTCAAGTTACCTGAGTGTGTAATAAAGACTCCCGGAAACTGTCTGAGCCAATGTAAGATTGCCCTCCAAATCAATTCGGCCCGCGTCCCAAAGTTCTTTCCAAGCCTCAATGTGACTCTCAAGGAGCTTTTCCGGTTGTTCCATAGCATCTTTATAAGCTTGATGCGCGCTCGTCAAGAAATCCTTAGCGTCTAAACTAGTCGCTATTGCCGTGATAAAGTAAAAGGTTTGGATCTCCGAGGAAGGACGAATGTCTAAACGAGGGGGTATATCCCCCCAGACAACAGCGACCCCCTCCTTCGGACTGGTCGGCTCCTCTGTTATCTTAATGTACCCAGACATGGAATTGATCTTAAGGTCATCCAGAGATTTACGTGGAAAATCATCTCTTTTGAAATCAATATCAACGCTCGGCGGTCCGTAAACATTGGTCATAAACAAACTTACTGTGTCGTGCATGTTGTTTTGAAAGGCTATCTCCGTGACAAGCAAATGCTGGTGAACCCGATGAGCATACATTCGCTGTTCTAGGGTAAAGTTATCCACGTGAAGCCTGTGATAGAACACCCCTTGTGCCACATTAAGGCTGAAGAGCTCTTCAGTGGCATTAGAGGAGAGATTGGTTCGTACGACGATCGCCGACGTGGAAGGAATTCTCGCCCTGTGACTCGGAGTTTCTGTCCCACGCCCGTTGAAGATCCCAGAGACATAAACCGTGTCGCTGTAAACTGCAGTGGCCAAATATCCATTACCAACACTCGGGTTCAATCGAGGATCATATGGTAGGCTCGATGACTCGAAGATTGTTGCATTTGGCGTAGCATGAACAGTTTTACAGAAGCAAACCATTGACAGAGCTACAATAAATTCATTTGCCGACGCCATGCCTCTGACTTGTCGATGGTTTATCTGGGATTTTTACGGCCGTAATACAGGTCGGTATCTCCCTTTTACTATTGATACTTTGTCTAATTTTGACGATTTCCGTGTTTAATGACTAGAAGGTAAAGTTCCCTCTGGCATTACGTTGAACGCTGCTATGCGCATGACCTTCATGTGATGTGGGCAGTTGAATTATTAACTTGCACAAAGTTCTAAACGCTTTCCTCTAAATGAAAATAAACCTAATAACGATAACAAAAGAACTATAAGTAACAAAAAAAGAAACAAACGTGCATAAACTATCCAAGGGCAAAAGTTATCTTCCACTTAAGTGGATGCCATTATATCCAGTGCTCGAGTAGAGAATTATGCGACAAAGTTCACGCCCTTGGTTTGCAAAGGGAAAATATCGGGGAGGGGGGGATGGGAGGTGATTGCGTTCTAGCTGATAGATTTAGGCACTTACAGTCTCACTCCCCAACCAGAAGAGTAAATGGTCTCCAGCACGTTGCAAGGAGACCTGGGACCTGACGAAATATTGGGGGGGGGGGGGAAGGAGGGAGCAAGGGAGGGGGCAAACTACGATGGCTCAGCGTCGCACTACGGAGTATCAAATAGTTATGCCCCTGGTCGCTTCAGGCTCTAGGAACGTGGTAAGCGACCCGCCAAGCCACGCAGCCTAAGACGAATTTCTTGCAGATTAATCGAAATTCTAGTATCAGTAGGCATCCGTCTGGAACATACGTCATGAAACACGCTAATTCCCGTCACGGAAAAATTGTGCGGTATCAGAGTGAAAAGGATTCTAAGAGCTTAATGCTGGGTTCATGTGGACTATTGCACGCTTGCAATTACGGCACGCAATATCATGCAATGGCTTCGGTACTGACATCTGTTGATGAAAGTGGCTCAATAAATATCGCAATAAAAGCTAAATCTTTAGCCAGAGGATGCTGGAAGATTGCATTAGTTTGTTGTGTACTTTTAGAATATGTCAGCGATTTGCATAGCTTTTTTTATGTGTAACTGAAATGGTCCGAAATATGATTCAGTTTAGAATGTTCATTACTCATCCATGACATGTACGTAAACAGATTAGGAAAAGATAGTAAACTTGAGCTCGTTTATCGAATAGAATTTTCCGCAAGCGTCGCATATACCTCTGTAACCTCTGATACCTCTTGTATCCTCTGATAACCCTTTCCGAAATAGGGGCTGAATCTCAACACATTGAAATGCAAAACTGCACAAGAAAATATTTCTGCGCAAAAATAACTTGAGTAACCTTAACAATGGGTGCCTTAAAAAGTTTCATTTGCCCGGTTGCGGCTGTGTCAGCCGAGTAAACCTGTCGTGACTTCAACTCGGAAAAAGAACATTGTGACATTTTTACAAATTGGATTATTTGCTCCACTGTGGTAAAACAAAGGTCTTGTCAATAACTTGTTTTGGATTGTCATTTCTCTCATAAGATAACCCTTTACTCTCAAGAACTTAATCTTAGTTCTTCTTGCTTTCAGCTATATGTTTCTCATAATTTTACCTCGTAGAATTTAGCGTTAGAAACATTATCTCCCAGCATGAGAACTTGTGTTCTCTTGCTCCCAGTAAATATTTGTCTTTCTTGTTATTGCCTTTGTGCTTGACAGTGCATTGCCTTAGTAGCGTAAGGGCAAACTAATCAATTGTCACTGCTTGGAGTAAAGGGTTTAAGTTACCCTGATTCAACATTCGCTTCCATTGTCATTTTGGAGAGGGGTCTAACTTGTCAGTGAGCTCAGATTCTATGACAGCAAAGAGGGAAACCGCAAATATTCCTGACAAAGCCCCTAAGTTGTGGCTTTATAAGAAAATGTTGTTTAAGTACCAAGCATAAATAGCCTTCATTTTTGACAAATTTTCGTCTTTATCTCAAAGAATCAGATTATGCATTCATCTAGCTTAAGCAATTTCATAATCAGTATAAGCAAATTTAGTTATAAAAAGAATTTGAAAAACGTCCATAACATTTTGCTTTCTGGAGTAAAATCAAAACCTTTCAGGAGGGATTATGTAATTGATAATTCCCAAATTTAACATAAAAATTTTAAGTAACGTACAAAGGTCGTTTAGACAAGACGTGACTATGCTGTTAAAGGGAAAAACTATTAGAATCGTAGAACATGGGGGGTTCATAATCTTGACCCGAGAGACGATGCGTTAAGCGCATTAAAAGATACTTGAGATTTAAACCAATTTACTGTCGCCTGACAATGTGCACGTTACAGAGTTCAGTACTGTACGCGTCAAGCCGGTAGGATTGCAAACGGAGCTATATCTGTAGCAGCCGGTTAAGGTGACTTTCAAACGCTTCTGGGTTCAGTCTTGGTGCACGAAAGAATTTTGAAGGCGTCAGAGTCGTGGAAGTGGAAATCAGCAAGTTTTTGACTCTACGTTACGATCCACGAATTAGCAGGTATCTCTTTGCCCAAGTCCGTTGTAAGCTGCCATAACAGTGCGTTCTGCAGAATACCTTTTAAGTTTGCTGTTTAATTCCCAGTTACGTAATATGTCCAAAAACACCGTACAACGAAAGTGCCAGATCTTGAGTCCGGACAAGAACCATGTGATTAAAGGTGCAAAATGTGTACTCTTATTATGATTAATTTTTCACACTTTTCATGCAGTTTTAGACGCTCCCTTATCTCTTCCCTCACAGTCAGACTGCACTTATGGTTCAAGATATACCCCGTTGAATACCGATTTGAAATTTCCACGGGAAAAGTTGAGTAGTACTCTGACATACTTTCGTGGAACATTGAGGTTCATTTCATTGCATGCAGACAAGTTTATCTGATCCGTTCATTTTGCAGAGAGCAAATAACTTAGTTTTCAATCTGAGGGCGTGAGTAGTTGTAAGCATGAATTTTAACGTATGCTAGAAATGATCTCTCATCGGCAGTTTCCTCCCCACACCAGACTGTAGCTTTGCTTTGAATTAAAAGTGGGCCCCATATCGCGCGCATTCGTAAGAACAGTGTTGGTTAAAGCGTTTATGTTATTAGCATTTTATTCACTTTTCTCATGCTCCTCAAAATCCGCATTCTTGATCAAAGTTGAGTATTTGTTTTGATTTGACTGCACAGCCGGTTTAAATCTTGTCGTTTGCCTTATTCCGTTGACGAAATAATATCACCTTGAAATAGAGATAGTTATGAAAGCATATCATCTTGCAGTTTACTACACAATTACGGAAACTTTAATTTAGACATAACAGCGATGACAAACCGTAATTGAAAAATAGTATTTCAGTAGCGATAGATGAACTAAGGATTTCTGTTAATGGACGTGAACAACTCTTGGCGTATCTCACGGATCGTTATTTCAAGAGCAACCAGACACTCATGAATTCACAAAAATGAAAACAAAGAGTTGTATTTCGTGAAAGGAAGCTGTTCTTGAAACAGAAAAGACAATAACACAAATGGCGATCAAAAGTTAAAATGCAGTTGTTAAGGGTAAATCAAAATTAACTTCCGATCTGTCTATTAAATTGAATTCCTTCAATTCTCCGCTCTTGTTAAACCGGATGTTAATGTCTATGTATTGCACAGTTTATTTATATTATGGTTATATCTCGGACAATCCATTGTTTAAAAATTTCTTCTCATGAAAATTTCTTCTAATATCCCAGCAAAGTTAGTTTGATGTAGAGACGGCTTGTCTCTCCAAACTTGCAAGATCTTTCATCTCTATTGTTTCCTCTTTAAATATTTTGTGTCGAATCTGCGGTTTTATTAAACCTAGATTAGCTGTGATTGGCCGATCTGATCACACGTATGGGACATGTAAACAATCCAGAGGGTTATTGAGCTTCCCACTTTCTATTAATAAACTGGAGAGCTTGTGACGCAGAGATGCAGATTTTGTCGTATCGATTATTTACTTTCCTCGCGGAAAAACAAACAAGATTTCAAATATGCCTTCGGCATGTACGCCAGTAACACATCGATATAATGTTTGAATCGAAAACGCCACGATGGCTTTCTTTTGCCCATCACAACTGACATTGAAAAAGAAAGGTAAGAGTTTTGTTTCAAGGGAGAACGTTTTTTTTCCTTGTCGTTTTTCTTTGCACACTAAAATAATTAGAATCCGCCGTGCTGTGAAAGTTGTCTTTCCCATTGCATTGTTATTGTGTCATAATTAAGCGTTTCATTTTACTCCGACAAAAATTTTATCGCCTAATTTTTTTATTAGTTTTACAGAGCAAGAAGCCTTATCCACCTGATGTCTATCGCCCGTCATCAAGTCAACAGCAAAACGGGACAACGACCTCAGAAGTTACGAAGTCTGCTCTAAAAAATGGCTCGACTCCAAGCCACAAACAGGAGAAGCGAAACGTCCGAATCAACGAATCGGGCGTGAGACATGAAACGCTTTTTGAACGGAAAATTCGAGCTGCAAGTTTGGGTAAACCTGCCAACGTTCGAGTGAAAGTAACGCAAAGTTACGAGCCGGTTGATAAAGAGGAACTTAAAGTACGAAAAGGACAGCACGTGAAAATACTCTACCAAGAGAATGACTGGGTTTACGCGATTGACTCGTTAGGAAATAAAGGGTTTATCCCGTTGTTTTACTGCTCGACGAGAAGTGCATCCACCGACTCGAAGTCAAGCACCTCAGGTTACGAGGATAGTTTCGAGGATAGCGAGGACGGAGTCGGCGAAAGAACTACGGTGGTCGTTTTCAACGATCCTCTAAATAGAGCGAGTCATAGCTCAAATAACTTAATGACTTATTTCCCCAAGAGAGCTTACGGTCCGCAGCTGACAGTTTTATATGACTATACTGCGCATTATGAGAATGACTTAAGCGTTTGTCGAGGTGAGGTTGTTATGCTGCTAAACGATCAAGACGAAGATTGGTTTTGGGTCTCCACGGATGATGGTGAGGAAGGCTTTGTTCCTCGATCTTTTGTCGTCTCTCACGTCTGCGAAGGTAAACAATTTGCTGCTTAACATCTTGTGTGTGTTTTTTTAGTATTCATGTGGTGAAGAGTGTACGAAACAATGTAGTAAAGTTGTGAGGAAGCTCTTAGCTTTCTTGTATCAAAGTGAAGAACTTTATAAAACATTTACTAAATGTTTCCCGAGAGAGGGCAAGATTCTTAACTGCCCCTATGATAGAGGAAGTTAATACAGAGCGGTCATGTTATTAATTAAGATTTTGTTAACTGCAAAAGCGAATATAAAATCCCAGTAACTATATCAAAGGAAAGAGGAAAGACGCCCGCATATTAGCAGGCCAGACTCTTTGGCAAGAGCTAAAATGGTCGAATTTCGGTTTCTTAGGACTCGTGGATGCAAAATATCAAGATAATTAAGACATGTTTTAGCGTGTTCGAGATTCCGTCGGCGTTACCGTTTCGTATGTGAAAAGCAGTATTTGATACGAGTTACCTTTTTTTAGATGTAGGGCTATTTTTATCAGGTTGTTCAGTATTTCGAAACCTCATTTGAAACCCGAGAAAACTTTCTCTACTTAGCCCAGCACGTAGCTTTGCCTTACGAGAGGAAATTGATCTTTTATCAGGATAAACATTTTACATTAAGTTCCCTTCCGAAGACTCTTAACCGATAAAGTAAAAATCGCTCTTTTAACAATTAACACGATGTCTTCGCCTCGTTTAAGATCCCCCGGATTGTTCTGGATTGTTGTTATTTTGATAACCTTCACCTTTTAATACTTTTAAGCGACGCGTCATTTTGCTGATAAAAAATCCCTTTCAAATTTTGTAACATGCATGTTACTCGGCAACTGAAAACCTTTTCTTGGTCTTGAACTTCTGGCGTTTCATGAAAAAAAAAAAAAAAAAACCATAAAAGAGAAAAAGAGCGCTCAACCGTTTGCAGTTCATCTGGGTTACAAGCCGCAAAGTTTGCAAGTATTGATTTAGTTCGTCTGGAGCAATTCGAAAGAAGTTTAAATCATTATCAACGGCAAAAGGAAACATGATTGAAGGTAAGCCGGATGAAGCAAGATAGATTTAATGGCTTAAACCATAAAAAGCAGATGAATCGAGAGGCAGATTTGCTGCAGACGTGAACGAAAAAAATTATCTTTGATATCGATTACATTTCCTAAACTCCCAAAATATAATCAAAAGAAAAAAACATAAACATCACCCCAACAAGAGAAAGGCCAGGGGGGTATATAATTCGTGGGCAAATTCAAAATCATGTTGAGTTTTTTTGTCGCTCATCACTGCCAGAAACTGCGCTGAACTGAATCGTTGTTTACTTGAATATTTTGCGTGATTCAAAAATTCATGGTGAAAGATGAAAAATTGCGTGACAAGGAACTTTTATGAAATAGAGTACAAATTGACTAACTGATTGATTGATTGATTGATCTTAACTCAGAAAGACTGTTAAAATTGCTCATTCAGGACTTTTTCCTGAACTGAGTAATCCTTTTAAAGTTATTTAGGGAAATCTCGTTTTCGGATATTCCCCAGAGAATATTTACAGAGAGAGAGATTACAGTGACATGAATGCAGTTAAACTTTCAGATTACTCAGTCGTTCTTCCTTGGCATTGTAGTAAAAAAGACTTGGATTTCATGACGATTGTGTGTAGTAATTAAGAAAGTATGTATGGAAATTAGACAACGAACCCGTGTTCAAGTTTAGTGGGCTCTTAGGCATGAAGGAAATGCAATTATTTATTATCATTTACGAGTGAAATGAGTTGGAAAATATTCATACAGAAATACAATTTCTCTCATTCAAAACCTTCCTTCATTTCCACATATAGCCTGTGTTCAACGGTTATCTTCACCAAACGGTACATCGCTCAACTCACCGAACCTCAGTTCTTCTGACGTCACACCAGTAAGTTCGAGTTCGACTGGGATGAAAGGCAAATCATGGCAGACGGATGTAACCTCATCAACATCCAGTGATAAGACTTACACCCTAAAAGGAACGCGTCTAATAGTACTTTACAATTTTGAAGGGAAGGCTTTTGATGATTTGCCTGTTAGACCCGGAGAGTATGTATATGCAAATCTAAAGGACCAAATTGTGCCTGGGTATATCTGGGCTTATTCGCCGAATAGTAAGAAATCTGGGTTTATTCCAGATGATCATGTCAAGGAGCCAGTGATAACAGATATATAATTGATATAAGAAGTTTGCATTTCAATAACAATCACAGAAACTCTCTCCACAACAGGTTAAATGCCCCTCTCGTTGAAGGCTAGGACTAAGAAATAATGAGAAATCTCTGATTTATAAGTCTATTGCTCTATTTTGTTCTTTGTGATTTATCCATTTATTAATGTTCGTTGTCGTTTATTGTTCGAAGTCTCATCACCTATACAGTGGAGCAGAGAGTTTTTACCGTTCAGTCTGTTTTTATGATGTCTTCTGAGGCTTTTTGATATCAGATACAATTCTCTATCCGCCACCCTTTCCATCTCTCGCGGTTAAACTAGGGATGGGATGTAACATGAGAAAACGAGGAAATAGAAAGTAACTGAAACCAGGGGATATGTCGAAGGGGATATGTCAATTTGATTCCACGGAAATTATTTTTAGTTCTAAACAGAAACGGAAGTCTAATTGATCTTATATCGCAAGACGTTTACGTCGAGAGATTGTCTATTAATCACTTAAGTAAAACTGACATCTCCTAAGGCCTGAACCAAAAGGAGCTTTTCTCTCTGTTTTTTTTTAAGAATATTTGTTCCTTTACTATATCAGTTTTATCCAAGTCACGTGGTAAAAAAAGCTGTATTCCTATAAGAACGATGTTTTAGGTATCAAAATGTCCTTTTTGTAAGTTTTTGTAATCCACCCGCAAGGCTAAAGCCTTCTTTTAAAGAAAGATAGGATTGAATTCAACTTGCATCTTGCTCATATTTCATTGGACCACTTTTTGATCGAGTGTCACAAAATTAAACCCAAAGTAATTACATCGGCCAATCAGAAGAATAGAAAATACCCTGAAGAGCCAGTGAGAACTCAAAGTAAACACAAGCAAGCCACCTAAAGCGCGGGAAAACGCGGGTAACAAAGTTTTGATTGGGTTTAGTTTTGTATCTGATTGGTCGAGAGAGTGGGGCGCGTTTTCTGGACCAATCCCAAAGCGTAGTAGAGCAAAACCAATGCAATCCCGGAGTACTTTCGACACTCAACTAAAAATTACAATATTGCGAAGGAAGGTTCACATCGTTATGTTGATTTAGTTCAATAATCACCAACCCGGTTGGTGGCCCTCCATGTTGGAATTCTTTTGCTTGGACCTCTTCTGCTGACTACCATCAATTCTGTCACTTCTCACGTATGACCTCATGATTGTAGGCTCACGGTAGTCTACAGTTTGAGTAGAATCATTTTAACAATGCAAGACATGCAATCTTATCCAATTCAACTCCCTTCTCCTTCTACGCTTTCTAACTCCCAGTGGAAAAGTTTATTTCAAGTATAAGCCTCTGTTTTCGTTACCACCTTGTGAATTCCTTATAGGGCAGCAATTCGAACATCGCGTAAAAGTAATTCGCTTAACCACGGGAAAGATCTCCGTTTAACCCCATGCTGTTCTAAAACATAGCCGAAGTCCCAGAGGTAATCTACTAGTTTCAACTGCTTTCTTTCATCCAGGTCCTGTATGCAAGAGTATCGCGTTATACGGTTGTAAATCTTGTCGAACCTAATTCCCTTAATCAGCGATGATAGTTTTTTAAAGGAAAAGAGACAACTTTCAGCAGATACATATGAAAAACAAAGAACAAGCCATGTGGATAAAAGTGTTAAAATAATTTATCATTTTTAATAATAGAATATATGTACAGATTTTGATAAAATTTGAATTTTGTTTTACCCAGACACACCCAGTGATACCGTGTGTTAAGTTTACACAATTGAAAAACTTTGTCTATATTCCCCTCTTTGTAAGAACATTGTTTGTCCAAAAAAAAAGACCATAGCATTAATGATGAATACTTCTAAAATGCGCCACCTCAAACGAGCTTGCAAAAAAAGAAACAGTTAAGTATAAAAATGAACTCCACCGATGCACGTATCATCTAATGAACTTCGGACCTTAGAGCTTGCTTAATGAAAATGACCTAACACTTTAACTTCCAGAAGTGATGAACATGTAACTTCTCCCTATAATATCCATATATCCACAAAACAGGTATCGAGAATACTCAAACTTATCAGGTAGAGGTTGTTCCCTTGATCTTGCACCAAATTCTTGTAACTAATTCAAAAGGAAATTTGTAGCAGCCAGAGGGAGAATTAGCGATCAGACTTTGGGATTTAAAGGGTTAAAATCATGCATGAAGAAAGATGTCATGCTATTACAGTTCACGTCGAAGTGAGCCAGTAACGTATTTGCATATCGAGTCACTACAATAACTCGTTTTCTATGCTAAGTCAATGGTGGATCCAGATATTTCCTTAGGAGGGGGTTCACCACTAAAGTAACTGACAGGTGACGTTACCAAATTTTAAAAGCAAACAGCGAAGTAGAAGGTTTATGACTAGGCAATAACATTATGTGAACTTTTGAGAATACTTAGCATTTTCACGGCTTTAACGTTAATTTTTCAACCTCGTCCCATGTTTTACTTTAAGACCAATAAACCCCAGACTTCTACCTTGGTTTGATCCTCGGAGACCAATCGCCGGCCTCGAAGCATTCTGACTTAAGCTGAAATATTACTATCCTCGTTGTAATTAAAATTAAATTGGATGAGAGAATAAATGGAGATATGGAAATCTAGGAACACACGAATAAGTTGAGGTTTGTTATTAAAAAACGAAAAAAAAAAATCTTAACTAAAGATATATTATATATTCTTAAACTATATATATGTCATTAAGGTAATTTCATACGTATTTTTCCAAAGTCATAAATTCCTTTGGCGCAGCACCAGGCCTTCTTCTCTCTTTCTTACAAATGGGACATTGATTCGGAGGACGTTCCATCGAGGGGTTCCGGTGTAGGGGGCACATATCCACCACGGACAAGATAGGACTACAATATGAGCTCCTGGAGCAAACACTGCGGTCTGCTTCTGAGCTACGGCTTGAATCCGTTGAGGGTGGCGAGGGGCCCTTGGGATGTGGGGCTGCCTCCCGTCGTATCTCTGGTGCCCCTGAAGGAAAACGTTTCACCACTGGTGTACTGTTGGACCTTTGTCGGTCCTTTGGGGACTGGTGGCCCCTTGCCTCTCCTGTCCAAGGGGGCATGGGTGCTAGCGTTCCTTTAGATATTTTTATATCGCTGGGAACTGGATCATGTGATCTTCGACGAAGCTCTTGAAGGTCTCTACCGCTCATCGCGTTCAGCTCACTTTTTTCCTCTGCAGAAACTCTTTCCTCGATAGGTTGGAATTTATGGACTGACGGTTTATTCAGTGAGCCTTTTCTGGGGTATGGGTCGCTTCTAAGTTCCGTATTTGAACCGTCAAGAACGATCTTATCTTCTGCGATGGACTTTCTTCCTCTCAACTGTTGACAAGCTCGTCGTAGAAGATCGTTCTCCTTTTGCAGACCAACAATCTCTTCACGTAATTTCTCTGCGCCTTCTATAAGCTGCAGGTTTTCGTCTTCCAATCGTCTGTAATCAGATGCCATTTGCTCCATTTTGCCCGAAGAATCTTTGAGATTTTCAGTTTCTTTCAATAGCCCATCTAAACGGGTAGACAGAATCTTTGTCTTCGTCTTCATAGCGTTGTCTTTCTCCATCAGTTGCTCGGCAAGTTGCTCTTTGAGAGACGCTTCGTTTTGCTTCTCCCTCTCGAGCTGCTTAACCTTCAGCGCCATTTCGTGTAGTTCCTCAATAAGTTTTTTCCTGTCTTCCTCTTTCCTATCGACCTCCCGGTACAGCTCCCTGAAGTCCGCTTGTAATTTGTTATTCATTCCTTCCAGTCTGTCGTTTTCTGAGAACATGGTCCTTAACTTGTTGTTTAAATCTTTCTGGCTTCCGCTGTCAAGAAGAAGCTTTTCAGTCTGAGCCTTTTGCTGTTTGTTTATCTCCTCGATTCGTTCTTTATCATACTCAAGCAAACGGACTTGTGACGCGAGGTCTTCTTTGTCTTTCTCCAAGCTACGGACATCGTTTTCGAATTTTCGTAGTAGGGCACTGAGACCTTCGACTCTTTCTTGCAGAGATATGGCTTCATGTTCTTTAGCTTCAAGCTTGGACAAAAGATCTTGATTTTTCTTCTCCATCTTTACTTTAAATGCATGTGCGTCGTCTACAAGTTTTATCCTTTCATTATCCACGTTTGTACGATCTTCCTCTAGCTTCCGGAATTTGTCTTTTAAATCACCATGCTGCTTTTCTAAGACATTCAAACTGTATTTTGTTTCATGAAGCTCGGTTTCAATCGCCTTATTTTTTCTTTCGATAGCTTCTTTGGAGAACGATAACTCATTCTTCTGTTGTTTCGAATTTCCAATCTCTTTTAATACCATCTCTTTCCTTATTATTTCAAGCTCCACAGTCAGGTCTCTCACTGTTTTCTTCAATGTGTGGTTTTCTGTAAACAGACAGTCTTTTTCTCTCCTTAGTTCCTTGACTTTGTCCCAGTCTTTGGCGTCTTTGTCTTTCGTATCACTCGGGGATCTTTTTAATTCTAAACTTGTCTTTCTCAGAGAATTTTTCTCCGCGCGCTCATCGTACGAAAGCTTACGCAACGTCTCAACTTCATAACGCACTTCTAAAAACTCGTTGTCAAGAGCGCCTCTCTCTCTTTGCCCACTCGGCGTGAATCCTCGATCTGTTGCTTCTTTTAGGTCTTTCTTTAGTTTACTCTCCTTCTCCCTGGCAATATTCAGCGCTTCCTGAAGTCGATTATTTGCCCGTCTCAGGCTTTCAAGTCGTTCCTCATCTTCGCATCTTTCTCTCAAACCTTTATAAAACTCTTCACGAGCTGTCGCCAAACTCGCTTCCTTCTCGTCGAATTCCCTTTCCTGTTCAAAAATTGTTCGTTTGTGGTCGACTATCGCTTCCTCTAGCAAACCAATTTTTCTCTCTTTTTCTGCAAGCTCATGTTTGAGGAGAGTAATTTCATCGCCTTTCGTCATCTTTTCTGGCGTTATCTCTTCATTTCTGTCAATTTGATCACGACTCATTTTCTTTTGATCGGCATTCACTGTAAGTGATGTAGTTTTTTGATCTTTTGCGACCATCTCTCTTTTCAATTCTTCAAGTTTATCTTGCATCTCTTTCTTTTGCTCATGACTTGATCGTTTGAGTTCGGCAATTTCTTCGTTTAAAGAGGTAATCGTTTTGTTTTTCACCTGTAATTCCTTTTGCAACTTCTCGAGGTTGTTCTGAAGGTCGCTTAACGTTTTTTTATCAGCTGTCGTCTGTTTTTGTTCTCGTTCTAGTTTTTGTTTGGATCTTTTAAGGTCAGTAATTTCGTCCTTCAAAGTTGAAATCATCTTGTTCTTTTCTTTTAATTCCTCGTTGGATTCTCTGAGCTGCTTTTGAAAGTCTTTAACCGATGTTGCGTCTGAGATTTTTTTAAGGGCTTGTTTTCGCTCAGATTCGGATCGTTTAAACTTAGAAAGTTGCTCTTCAAGAGATGCAATTGTATTCTTCTTGCTTTCCAATTCTTGTTGTACTTCATCGAGTTCGTCATATAGTTCCTTTTCTGCATCTCCAAATTTCCTCTCACAATCTTCTTTGGAGAGTGTCGCTTCCTCCACTGCCACACGCAAGGTTGCATTTTCGTTCTTTCTCTCTGCCAACTCAGTCATTAGTGCTTGATGTTCAAGGCTCAGCTGTTCCAGTTTGTACTCAAGCTCCTTCATTCTTTCGTCGCTTTCAGCGAGCTCCTCTGTCAGACCTTTTGGCACTTCCTTATCGATCTCTTTGGAGAGGCGGTTTACTTCTAGAGTAAGGCGTTTCACTTCTAAAGTGCTCTTCTCTAGTGCATCTTCCAACCTTTTCCCATCCTCTACTGCTTTGCGGTTCTTCTGTTCCTTTGTTTTAATCTCCTCGCGAAGGGTATTTTTATCCCTAAGTAAGACCTCTAACTTTCTGGACAGCTCCTTATTTCCATCCGTCAGAGATCCAAGCTCCTCTTTGTAACGTTTGGCATTCTCGTCCAGTTTATCCTCCAGAGTTTCTTTTTCCTCGATCAAAGCATCCATGTCTCGTTGCAGTTTCTTTGTTTTCGACCTCAATTCTTCAATGATTTCGTTCAGTTCGTCTTTTTCATCGTTGAGTTCGTCCAGTTCTTCATATAAATCTGCATTTAACTGGCGTTGTTTTGCGAGTTTATCCTCAAGAGTATCTTGATTGTTTGGAGTGGACTCCAAACTAAAATTCACTTCTGCTGCAGATGAAAGTTCGCCTTCCTGGGCACATGAGATTGCTTCCTCGCCAATTCCGAAACTTCCTGAGTCCATCTCATCTAAAGAAACGTCTTTTTTGCTTGTACGCTCTTTCTCTTGGTCCTGCAAGGTTAGTTTTAGGTTCTCGTTATCTTGAGCGACCGTTTGTGCTGAAACCTTCAAAGTTCCTAGCTCGTTTGAAATTGTGATCAATTGTTCTTCAGTCTTCTTCCTACCATCTCTTTCAAGCTGAAGTTCTCGTTCAAGCTCACTCTTCTCATCAGCTGCGTCATCCAATTTTCCCCTCAGAGTTTCACATTCACTTGTTAGTGTTTCCAACTCATTTTCGATCCGTTCTGTTTCAGTCTTCATTTCGATAAGTAGAGTTTTTTCCTTTGTTTGTGCTTCAGCGAAAGCTGTATTTAAGGCGGCCATCTCT